TTCATTGGTTGCTGCTCAAGCAGTATCGTCTCAAGGATAGAAATATAGTGTTGTACAACTGAAAGGTAGATTGTAAAATGTTAAGCAATTTGAAGATTATCAGTTATTCTCCAGTGAAAGCCCCAGGTGTTTTTTTTAACTTTTTTATTGTTTTGTCAGTAAAAGGGCACTGCTGTATTAAGTCTCTTTGTAAAACACGTTTTGAGCACGCTTATTATTTTTGTGCCAGTGGAGAATAATGAAGATGCTGCTTTATTAGTTGAAGTCTATCCTAAAATTCTGTTATCAGTAATTACTGAAATATTTGACAGATACCAAGAGTGAACCTCAGCATTCCAGTTAAAAGGACTTTGCAGAAAATAAATGCTGCATGCCTAATAAAGTTTATTTGTACAAGTGAATGCTGTGTTGCTGTAAGCTAAACCACAGGGTAGCATTTCACTGAACTCACCAAATACATTCAAACAATGGTATATTTCAAATTAGGGTGCGTTATGATACCAGACTTAATCATTAAGTACCATCAAGGAACAGATGGCAAGGGAGGACACAACTGGTTTGCAGTCTGCATAGATTTAAGCATGAGGCCATTAAGCTATCACATTCCCATTTCTGATAGATTTTGGTCAATGAAAAATTAAAGACACATAATCCCTGATTATATGAAGTCTCAATCTGTGATTCATTACACTGGTAGTATTTCAAAATCACTGAAGTTCCCTCTGTAATCAAGAGTTTTAAACTAATGCATTATTGGGATAGATGCTCCTGTCTGGTTTATTGCTATTGAAATTAATGTATCTTGTCATAAGTAGGTTGCTCTTAAATGTAAAATTGCTTAAGGGTATCTTTTACCGCTCTGCTTCCTATTGACTTCTAGGCAGATTTGCCCTATTTTGCTGGGCTGTTTGCCACTGGAGCAGCTCAGTATCCCCACCTCATAAAAGGAGCAGCTCAGAGCATAGATGGCCTTAAAAATGTTTATAGTAGCCACCAGAATCTGATGGTTTTAAAAAGCTGTTTTTTAAAGCTGTGTCTTAAACTGGCAAAGGAGATCTTTTTGTCTTCAAAATTATTTCATTTGCATCCTGTATTTCCAGGATCATCCAGTGTATTTCAGTGTCATTGGACCTAATGTATTCTAATAAACAGAATTGGTTTGCATTAATAAAAATATAATAATTTCTATGACCATAAATACAATCATTTCTCTGACCATCATAATATGGTCATAGAAATTCAACAGTTTAACTTACAGGTGCAAGTACTTCATTAAAATCTTTAATAAGTTAGTTTTCAAGAACTGTAAATGAGTTTAAAGATAATCTTAGAAGGTTCTGGCAGTTCATGTTTAGAATTTTATCTTTCTATATGAAAAATAGTTGCACATCAGACTTCATTCTTAGTAAAAAATGCCATTAGTATGCCATGACTTGGACCAGCTTGAAAAAATACAGTTCTACAAACAACATAAAGTGGAAATATGCAGCCAGCATCCTGCTATATTATTTCCTCTTTGAGGGGGTCAAATTAAGATATCAATACTTATGATGATGAACTATATTGACTTAATAAATAATACTTAAAGTGCTGTTTATTGGATTAAGGAGACCATTGAGTGTTCAGGTTGGAGTCTTTGAGAAAATGAGACCTGGTTATCAATATTGGAAGTGAAGGTAGGTTTAGTTGGTTTTTTTTTAAATCAGGAATATCCTGTTCAAGGACCTAATCATGGTCCTTTCATAACACTGGTGTATGGAGGGATCTGTCAGGTCTGTGCTTGGCTGTTCCATACACAAACCTGACAGTTCTAACACAATCTGAAAGGTAGAAATAAATCAGTGACTGAAGATTAGGGAGCTCTGCTAAACACCAGCACAGAGTCTGCTTGCCGGAAGAATCCCTCAGCTTTCAACGTTTACTTTCCAGCACAGAGTCATTTTAGTAGGTAGCTTATAAAGAGTGTGTGTTTATAATCATTTAATGACATAATGTGGTTAGAAAGATCTCAATTACTGTAGCACAGAGGTGAAGTCCTGTTTGCACTGGAAGGTGCTGAGAGCAGGATTGCACTCTGGGAAGCATGGGAAACAATTTTTTGTCCAAGTCATTCATCCTAGTCATGGCTAACATGTACTAATTGAGAGTGTCTAGGACAACTGACCTCCCGTGGTTTAAGAATAATGAGCCAATAGGACATTCATTACCAAAAAAACAGAAAAAGGAATGTACTACCAATAGTGAGTTATTGAGAGTACGTGTTTAATTAAATTAAAAATGATTGGTAAAGAGTTGTACTGGTATCTCAGTACTTTGCTTTTATTGAACCTTAAAAACAGTGGGTTAAACTTCTTGTTACCACTACCTACTTTTAAGTTCTACTGAAAAATGTTAAGGGAACTTGGAGTTTGGGATTTCTGTTGGACCCTTTGCCATAATCTTTTGGAAAAATTTAAAATTACTAAAATAATTTTTTTCTGTGCACCAGGTTTCCCAAGGCTGACATTCTGATTTGAACTGCTGGTCATTTGCACTAGCAGAGCATCTTGAAACTGGACAGTGGAGTTTTTCCAAGTCGTAAAAATACAGCTCCAGAGCACGTCAGCAGCCCAAGTTTTCCCAGCAAAAATTCACAGTCTCAGTAAACTGCTTCCTGCAATTTAAGCCAACAACAAAAAGCCAAGCCAAAACAAAAAGCTCCCCAACTTTCTGTTTTAATCTACAGGAATGAATCATTTTGGCACTAAGCAGGTCACTAAGCTTGTCATAGAGGGAGGTGAAGTTGTTAAAGCAGCTCTTCACTGCTGGCTGGGCTGATGCCGTGGTGTCGTGAAGATCCAGTGCTATGCAAATGTTCAAGTTTTTGTTCATCCCGGATCAATCTCAATATCCTAATACAGTTTTGGAAATGAGAAAATGGAAAGCCTGAGCTTTTATGACGTTTATGCTTTGAGTTCTTGTGGTTGCACACTAATTTTGTGTTGCTGCTAAAATAAGAACTGACAAATACCCAGGAAACCCCTGTGCCCTGTTTTGAGTGCTCTAAAGGGAGAGGCATCTGAAATGTGTGGCTGTAGAAATGCTGCTGAAGATGATGAAAAAGCCCAGAGATAATCCCATGGTCATTAAGATTAACGATTAAGAGCCCAAATCGGCCTTTTGGAGATATGCATGTAGAAATAGGAGACTTCAGCTGATCTCTGTAGGTCAGCAGGATTTATTGTGGATTTTCTCTTCTGATTTTAACAAATTTGAATGAATTCAGTGTGGAAAGGAGTCCAGTTCTGTGCATCTGCAAAGCGTAATTATTTTTAGCCCATTTAGTTGCTTTTACAGCTACTGGTTGGCTGAACTAATAAACCCAAGGTCACATCTTAGTCACATGGTTTGGCTAATATGTTCTAAAATATATTTTAATTGTTTATAATATTTTTAGGAACATGGTGATGAGCATTTAGGAATGAGGCAATTACCCATGTCCTAATTTTCATAGATTTATAATAATACAGAAAAAAAAGATACTGTGCCTACTGCTTTTCTTTTAAAAATGTCTGTGTTGGAGGTGCATTTTTTATATGACCTGAAGCAGTGATTTTTCTATTATTTCTATTTGTGCTTATAAGCCAGGAAATGCTGATAGTACTAAACTGAAGAAAAGACATGAATAGATCTTCTTAAAAAATCTAATACGCTAAAAGTTAAGCAAGCTGTAAAATGCAAATAAAGTTTGTGTAGGTAACTTATTTATAAATGAAAAATATGTAAGTTTTGTACAGAGAGTATGTGAAACTACCAATTAAAGGTAATAAATTGCGTCAGAGTAAGTCACAATACCACAATATTCAGGTAATTTTTGTTTTATAGCAAATATCTCCTCTTTCTGCATTTGATTCTGACTCTAATCCTTTGCCTGTGAGTGAGTTATTGAATTCCATTACTTTTGCACATTACCAGGATCATTCTCCATTGCCATAGTATTTTTTGAAGATTGTTCTCTGGGTTTTTTCTCCTAAAGTTTGCCAGTGGCTGTTCTGGAAAGTGTATTCTGTATTCTATTGTTTAAATCATTAATGACAACGTTGAATAAAACTAGAGTCAGCAGACACATATCCCTGCTGGGAGCCCTGGTTTGACAGGGAAAAATTGGTGGTTTGATTTTGAGTGCAGCATCCCAGCCAGCTCTCTTTCATCTGATAATAATAATATCATTATACAGTAGAATAATACCATTAAATATCAAAAGTTGCATTGTGCAGCTGTATCAAGAATCTCTAAAAGCGAGAAACTTCACATTGGCCATCCCTTAGGAATTCTTTTAAACATTTCAGAGTGTTATGGGGGTGTGCTTTGATTCTGCGTGGTTTTCCATGAGAAATCCCAGTGAATGGTTGTTGTGCTGTCCTCTGTGTGTTACAAGGTATTGAAAAAGGATGACTCATCTGCCTTTCCTCAGATCCTTTCTGCTTTGTGAAGGAAAAAGTGATTGATTTCCTCCCTGAAGCCAAGACAAACCAGAGAAAAATCTGGTAGCATATGATAGTACAGGACAAAAACTCCAATTAATTATCCCTTTGTTGTCACATTCCAACAATCTGTAAATACATTTAAAACAGTTGAGTGTGTTAGCATGACGTGTTTCATATTCATCATCGTTCTAAAAGTTAAAAATTTACATTTTGTTCATAGTAAAATACACCCACAAAAAGTTTCCTGTCAGACCCATTCCCTGGAAATTGTGGTGAGTGCTCCCAGTTTCAGGCTGCATTGACAGCAAACAAGAATGTGAGGCTGTCTGGCTGTATCAGAGACACATTTCAAGCTCTTTCTATCTTCCACAGCTCCTTATTGATTTGTGGAGGGAAAAACAAGGCATGGTTATCAAGACAAGGAATGGCTGTGCTGGCACATTAACTATACAATTTGTTTTATAGAGAAAGCTTTAAAGATTAATGTTCAGCCTGTTTAATATAGTCTTTTTTCTTTTTTTTTTTTTTTCTCAGCAATCCAAAGTCTACTAATCAGAGGATAAACAAAAAAGTAAACAATGATGCATCATTAAGGATTCAAAATTTGTCTATCTTGGTGAAACAAATAAAAACTTACTATCAGGTCAGTAATTGTTTGTTGTCTTACGTTTTGCCTGGAATTATTTCTAAATTTTCTTCTATTGTTATGGCTTTAAAGGTAACAGGAGTAAGACAAAAAAGAGGTAATTGTATGGATGATTACTTAGATATCTGGTCAAATTTCTTATCACTGTTTATGGGTATAAAGATGATGTGGACACACTTTTGTATGAGTAATGACCTGTTTAGAGAATAGATACTCTGTGTGTGCAATTACTCCTGCATTAAGTATTATTGTTTGGTATTGTCTGAGTTGAAGCAAATTTTGTGCCAGTGAGAGAGATTATTACATGTGCATTCAGTCTTGTAAAATAGAATTTTTGTTAGAAAAACATGTTGAAATTTAGTGGGCTTAGAATTAATTTGGGAATTGGTAGTAAATGCAGTGAGGATCTCAGTCAGGGCTGTGAAAGAGCCACTGAAGTTAGATGCACTAGTAGGAGCTGGTCCTGTGCCTGCTGAGCTGGATAGGGTGTTCTACACATGGACATGCCACAGCTGGGCACTGCTGCTGTCACCAGTGTCCCTTTAGTGTGGCTTTTAGTGCCCTTCCACACTCCCCTGCTCCTTCCTGCCAGGAGAGCCCAGACCTGGGAGAAAGCCTTTGCTCTGCCTCTCCCTGCTCACACCTCCTGGCCAACCTGTGCTGAAGTCTGCTGCTCCTCCTGTGTCCACACACAGTGTGTGCTTCCCAAAACTCCAAGTGCAGTGAGAATTCCCAGCTGGCACTGCCCTGACCAGCCATGGAACTTCCCAAGCTTCCCAGCGCTTCCCGCCCTTCTCTCCTTGGCATCTCCTGCACATGGATTTATGTGCTGCCTGCTAAGGCCCATATGCTTTTCCTTTGCTTAACGGAAGTTTTCCACCAGGCATTAATGTTCCACAACTGGTGCAACAGAAGGAACAAACACTGATAGGATTGATCTTTTTTGGAGCACAAAGCATTCCCCATCCTGCACTGGCCTCATGGATTCACCAGTCCAAGTGCTCCAGGACCAGGCAGAATTTCTGGCGTTTAGGTACCTTTGGATGGTTCAGGACTGTGGATGTTGCTCCAAACCTTTGTGATAGAAACAAATCTTTTAGAGCTTTTTTAAATAAAAATTTATTCTTTTTTAAGAAACAGTAAAGCCAGTCACCATGCCTTTAATGGTCCAAGCTATATTGAACACTGTTTTATACACCTTTTCCCCCTCCCCAGTCTTTCTGGGTTTTGGTCACCATGCAAACATTGATGGGCTAGTGTTGCTAGCAGGAGTGAAGGCATTTACTCTCCAAACTGGAGAGCTCCTTGTAAACTGAAATTGTTTTTTGCATGTGTAGGTATTCACTCCCTACAGTGCCTGCAGGGAAGTTTGTGCTTTGTGGTAGTTGAAGTGTTAAAGGATGGGATGTTTCACAGAGGGGTCAGCTGAGTTCCTGTCACCTGTGAAATTCCCCAAAGCAGGAAAGCTGGGGCTTGATGGATGCCTTGGAATCAAACTGAGAGGCCTCCCTTAGCCTGGGGTGAGGCAGGAGCCTCACACCCGAGTACCCTGAAAGCTGAGTGTACAGCCAGGCCTGGGGGGTGTTCCCTGGGGATGCCTGGGATCCCAGGGAGGGGACAGGAGACCAGTCACTGTACTGAGAGACGATTTTACTGAGGGTTGAAATCACACACTGATGAATGTGGGAATTTGGGATATTTAGCACTGTGTTAACCTAACTCTTAACACTTCTAATTGTGTGCTTCTTCATGCTGGTTTGTTCCATGTGGTTTTGTAACATCTGTGGAAAACCTTCTCTCAGTTTAGTGAAAAATCTCATCAGTGCTGTGGATGTACTCATCAAAAAACCTGCACTGGTAGAATATAATATTCAAAATTAAGATGTTATGTTAGTTTAGTTAGTTTTTTTGTTCCTGTATCATCTTTGTTATTCTCTAGAATTACAGTTCTGATCCTGAACCAGTATTTGGAGTGTGTAGATTTCTTGGCAATGTAAGAGCATGGAGCTGTTCTTAGCAGTTAGTTCAAGACAAGTGATTCTAAATTTTTGGTGGGCTCGAGAGGTTTAATCCAGTGAGTGTCCATGACACACAGCAGATTTGACTGAGGAGGTGAAAATCTTCAGTAAAATAAATGCTAGTGAACTGTAAAAGTTTGTGCAAGCAAACCCAGTGCTGAGGTTAACACCAAGCAACAGAAAAGGTGTCAGACGTCTCTGGGACAAGGCAGAGGTGTTTTAAGGAAACAGGTGATTGTGTCCATTCAGGACACATGTTTTGGTTACTGCTGCTCATACTCTGCTTTGGTACATGATCACCTTTATGATAGCATCATGGAATTATTTCAGATACTACCAAAAACCGCTTCCAAAAAAAAAAAACCAAAAGCAAACAAAAAGCCAGTCTAGAATTACATGATTTTCTTACATAGTAGCTGTCGACACTCATTAAATTAATTGTATTTTATCTGTTTTATATTGATTTAAAACATCCTGTGGTGCACTTCATGTCTTATTTTTGTTTGAAAATGGTCTTTATCAGTCTGAGAAGCACAGGTGTCACAGCTGGTTGAATTTTGTGATATTGGAGGAGGCCAAAGCTGTTTTCTCCCTCCTTATAACTTGTCTTAGGCATGTCCAGAGGGAATATATATTTTGCCATCTACTATTAATCAATTCAGATATAATTTTGATGTTGTATATTAACTGGCGGGAACTTTCAAGCATAGCAGTAGCTAGTAATTTCTACTGGTGTTTTTCAAGAAATATTGGAGTTTTTTTCAATTTGACCTGAAGCAAGTGGACTTGTGTTAGGTTGTTGCTTACAATGTGACACCTGATGTGTGCCTTGGGCTCTTCTGGAATATGTTGCTTTTGAGTAGGAGCATTTTATATAGTAATGGATCTGTCACTGTGGAAAAACAAAAAGCCTTGACTATAGTATGGCATCTGCTGGGAATAAATATCTGGGAACAGGAGAAAGACTATTCTGCTTCAGGAGAATTAGGCTCTGTCTAGACTGGGGATTTGACCCGATTACAGCCATTACAGGAGCTCCATTGATGGAATCCAAAGAACAGATAGGCAGAGCTGCTGCCTGATGTGTGGCACTTGTCAGCTAAAATTCCATGTGATTGTGCAGACAGGGGTTTGTACCCTTATATTCACAGGTGACCCAGTGTCACTGCAGCAAAAAACCCTGGGATTTTCACATCCATGTTTTGGTGAGGCCAAAGAAACTGTGAAATAAAGGAAATAGACTTTTTGTAGTAGAAATGCACCTTAGAGCCAATAAAACAAATATGTATCAATAAGTTAGGGAAACATGAGCATAATAAATGTAAAGGGTTTTGCTGCACTCTGAGACTTGGGATCTCGTTGGCTTATGATCTCTGAGCCAGCTCATTGCCGTGAGAGGATTTTGCTCTGTGAGCTGATTGTGCAAACCAGTAAAACAAAGCTTCTGTAGAAGTAACTCATATTTGTTAGTTGTTTTTTTAATTAGAATTCAAATAATAATAAGTATTGTATTAAATAATAAGTATTGCATGAATTGTATGCATGAAGTCCTGAAAAATAATAAAACTGTTTAATTAATACTGATTTTTCTTTAATGGCTGTTGGCATTTCATGTTTGCTTTCATTCAGTACATGTAAATAATGTTTTTATTAACTTTTATAGGAGACTTTGCAGCAGTTGATCATGATGTCTTTGCCAAATGTGCTAATAATTGGCAAAAATCCTTTTTCTGGTAAGTTTATTCTTGACTAAGATAAATATGTATGCTAGTGTGATAATTTATATTCTTTCACTGGAAATAAAATTCCTGTAGTGTTGAGCCTTTCAACAGAAGATTGTTTAAATACTTATCAAATAGGTGGTTTCATAATGATGAGTAATGATTTAATAATGATTTTCTTTGTCCACACAAAGGGTCCACACTCTAAAAAACGTGTTCTGTCACAGCCTCAGCCCTGGCTTTCACTAGGATTTATACTGGGCCCGAGTGCGTGTCCCAGCAACCAGTGAACCACTGATGGCGCAAAGTTAAAGTTTCATGTACTCCCAGCTACTGCACCTTCAACTTCCTTTACATATCACTGCTGAGGGAATTGGCAATTCCGTGCATCTCACTTGATCCAGCTCCTGATACTTGTTTCTCCTTCCCCCGAACTCTCCTGCTTCTCTTGCATCCCTACCTGAAAAATACTGCAATTACCTTCTTGTTTTCTCCTGTGAACTGACGCTGTCTTCTCCATGCTCCCACCTTCTCTGCTTCCAGCTCTGAGAGTTGCAATTTTCAGACCAAGAAAATTAGCCTGTGTGGAGCCAGCTGACTATCCACAGCCACTTGGGAATCTCTGCACCATGCTCTCAATTCCAGAAGCACGGAGCAGACACACCTGGCCTGCATGGAGCCACTATGGATTGGGCAGAATTTATTTACCTAGGTCTAATGTGCCCCAGGTGTTCTCCTCCTGACGTTCTGACACCTCAGCAGAGAGGTCAGGAACTGCTCTAACAGGCTGTATAGCTTCCCCTGGCTGTTTTTATTTCTTTGGGGTGTCTTCTTTGCCACGCTTCTGTGTCTGTGGGACAGCGGGTTCCTCATAAGCCAGAAGAACCATCTGTGTTTCCTCACTTCCCAATCCCAGGGCTCATAACATTGGTATTTTCCATATCCCATTTGCACTCCCATCTGAGTAGGTATCTTGCTTGAATTATTTTGGGTTTTACTTTCTGCTATTTAGTATTTCTGCTTTTGCTTCCGAGGTCACAGATTTTTCAGTTTTTATATGTGCAGCTGCTGTCATATGCAAGAAGTGTGAATGCGGCCTCTTCCTTTCCAAAAGAACAGAATGCATCATGCTCTTATAATTTTGATTCCGGACTTTCGTAAGGTTTTCGAAAGAGTCCATGGATTTGCCTAGAAACCATATTTACTGGAAAAACAGATTTTAAAAACCCCAGCTCATAGTATTGTTTTGTAGTGACATTTTTTATTCTGTTCAAGATACTGAGAGAAAATGTCGTAACAATATTGTGCAATATAAGATGACATTTCATTGAAAATGCACTATCAAACCCCACAGAGATTATATTGCGTTCAGTTGTATACATTCAATTTTGTGGTTTGGTAATTTCTAAGGAGGTGTCTGTGTTTTGGGATCTGTGGCTTGGCAGCTCTGTTGGTGTGTGCTTTGCTCTTCTGTGGGGATTTTGTTGGATTTTTGAGAAAATTTGTGCTTTACTGTAGTGTAGCCCTCACATTAAAAAAAGATTGTTATGCTTAGACAACATACTTGAAGGTGTTTCACCTTTCTGCTGGAGTTCAATCACAGAGTTTGATCTGCACTAGAATTTAGACCTGTTCTTTTGGGTTCTGTCCAGAACCTTTCCCCTTTGAAAGTTAAGACTGCTCTTGCTCTGTCAACTTGGAAAAGGATCTCATCCCTACATGGATTTTTAAGCTTTTTTTTTTTGGCAGGTGCAGGGAAATGAAACCTCAGTGATCTTTGGAGACTCTTGTTGTGTAAACCTGGTTGCATCAAGGAAAGCCCTGGAGTAAAAGTCATTTCCCTGATAAAGACTTGGATTGGGTCCACTAAAACTTAGGCTGGAGGGGTGATTTTTCACAGGGATGTTTCCCACTTTTTCTCCTTTGCACTTAGGGAATAATTAATAGAGAAATCCCAGAGGATGCCAAATTGCAGATGGCAGGAGCAGATACCAGAGGCAGTTGGCTCCTGGAGGAAAATGCAGGGAGAAGGCTGAAGTTGAGGTTTGGTAAAATGGGTCAGCAGGGATTTTATCAGGAAATATTTCCTAAGCTGATTGACAGGAAGGCAGTTGGAGGAGAAAACTGGAGGAGAACTACAGTCTGTGACTGTAAATGTTCAGTTTAATTACAAAGGGGTAATGATGAGGCAATGGGAAGGAGAAACATGAAAGCAAGTTCATATTCCTAAGGGAGCAAGGCAGCAAGACAGAAGCCTGCACTGCAGAGGGTGTGAAAGTCAGGGATAAGGGTGAACACAGGGAAGATCAAACAGTGGCACAGGGTAGGGACAAAGTTCATCAGAAGGTTGAAGGATGTAAAACAGAATAATCTATTTCTGTGTTTCTGATGGAGGAAAAGGAAGAAAAACAGAAGATGAGGGAAGCTGACAAGGTTCAGTGTTTTGCCCTGTTCCTTCAGGGAACATGGGGGAGAGACAAGGAATCAATATTCAGGCAGGCGTTTGAAAGGCATTCAGGAGACGAAGAGTGGAGAGGAGCTCAGGGATTGCTTAAAAATTAAGAAAGTGTGATTAAATTATTGGGTTAAGTGAATGTAGGCTATGGATTCCTCCTGTTGCAGTATTCCTGTTAGCCTTTATTGATAAGACAGAAAGCCAGGTGGAATTCCCCTTCTTGAGCTGAAGTAGCTTCTGGTGAAACACATTCCATGATGGTTTTTCTGTTTCTCCATTAAAGGCTTCACAGCTCGAGCCTTTGGGATACAAGAAGTCTGAATAAATGACTAAAAATCTCCCATTTGAATCTATGTTTTTTGTAATGTATTTATCTACCTGAGAAATGTCTTGAAAAATTGCAATATTCCACGTTCATTGGGATTATGCACATTATGTAGCTCCCTCCAAAAGCAACAGCTTGAGTCAATGCCTAAACTATTTTGTCATCCTTGAAGCATTTGCTTCGTGGCATTTATGTTCTAGATATAGAATATATTTCTGTATTTAGTAGCAAGATGAGGACATGGTGAACGTAAAAAGTAAGAAACATTTTTATTAATCTGTAAACAGAGTTCTTTAACTTAAGCTTCTTTAGGAGATTAAGATACTTAAGGCCAGATTTGGAAATACATTTTGATTTTTTGGATGTGCAGATGAATATCTAATACAGTTTTGTAAGGAATTTAAATGAACTTGTCATCTAAACTCTTCCAGCTTGGGAGCGACAGATAATTTAAGCACTTTTGTAGCTATGTTGAGATACCTGAGATTACCATTGAAAACTTGATTGTAGGTCTCCAAAGCACATCTAAAATTGTCACTCCAAAGTTTTGCTTTTTGAAGGGCTGAATTTTTTTTTTCCATTTGAAATTGTTAACGGCTGTTAGGTGTTTCATAACTCTGAAAGTTGGCAGTTAAATGGCAAAAAGGACTGAGTTGAAAGTTCCTCTGGTGTTTTCTAAACTAGGTTAAAATAAATGATACGGAAACAACAAGAAAACCTCCTGTTCTCTGAGGTATAGGGGAAGAAGCTCTAATTACAGTTTTACAGTTACCATTTTTCTGTGTTTTCTTCTCAGAGCCAGGTACTGAAGAAGTAAAAAAGCTCCTCCTGCTTTTGCTTGGTTGTGCAGTTCAGGTGAGTTTAATTATGTTTGTCTCTATGAAACTTTTGAGTTTTGATCTCTTTTCTTACTGTTTTAATACTTCAGGTGGTATGAAACTTGTCTTCCTTTGGTGATACAATTGTATTCCTTGAAAAATTGGAATATTCTGATTTTTAATTAAATGGCTGTTACTGCACAAATAACTCTGTCACAAATTACTGTTACACCTGTTACTGCACAAATAACTCCGGCCATAATGGGTTATTAATTTCAGTAGTGTTAATTTACCTGATACTGTAAAGAAAGGAAGGAAATGGTAAAATGCTAAAAATTAACTGACTGCACTGTTTCATGTATTTAATAAATCATAGACTTTGAATTAGTAACAATTTTACGAAACCTCTTCCTTCTCCCGTTTCAATTTGATTTTCCTTGTATCATTTGATTAGTGTTGAAGTTAGAATTATTGTAACATGGCATAAACCACAGATCTACTGGTCACCAGAATTACTGGGTAATAATTTATTCATGTGGCTATTGCAGTGTCAGCTTTATAAGTTATAGCTCTTAAGAAATACAAAAGAAGAATGAAAATACTTGTGATTATACATATAAATGTGTATAAAATAGATGTCTCTATTTTTAGTGTCAGAAAAAAGAAGAATTTATTGAAAGAATCCAAAGTCTGGATTTTGATACCAGAGCAGCTGTTGCAGCCCATATTCAGGAGGTATTTTGGGGGATTTTTGCTTTTAATTTTGGGCATTTTTTGAGATGGAATATTGTATTGCAGGAAGGGGAGTTGCACGTGTTCAATGGCAAGTAAATCACATATGTGATTTGCATATTGAGTGGTTGTAGTAAGCAATAAAGGCTTTATTTTTTCACTTGATTCACAAAAAGATGTAATGATTGAGCATTTTTGGGTTTTATTTTTAGAGCAGTACCAAAAAGCAAGTTTGTTGCTTCAAGGATTTCTTGGTTACTTACAGAAATTTAGTTTAGTGAAATCTTTATATGTAAATTTATTTTTAAAATATAATTAAAATCAAATGTATGTGGTAGATAATTTATAATGTTATTGATTATATTATTGTCACCTTGCCAGATACTTCAAGGTGCTGTTTCCAGGTAGACAAAAATCTCTTCCTTTACATACAATTAGATATATTTAAAATGTTTTTTTCATACCTTGTCTAGAGAATTTAACCTGTAGAGTTGCAGCTTTATTTTTTTTATGCTTCCTTTCTACTTCTAGAATTTCAAGAGCATCTTTTTTCTCTTTCATTTCACCCCATGTAGGTAACTCATAATCAGGAAAATGTGTTTGACCTGCAGTGGATGGATGTCATTGTGCTGACACAAGAATATGTTGAGCCTCTCCTGAAAAATATGGCACTGCATTTAAAAAGACTTATAGATGAAAGAGATGAGCACTCAGAGGTATGGATGTGGCTTAAGAGAAATGCAAGAAATCTTTTTTTTGAGATAATGCCAGCTCAGGATTTTTATAACTAACAGTTTAATTTTCTGCTGACATGTTAAAGCAAGGATTCCTGACTGCCAGAACATTGTTTCAGGGAGTTCCTCTGTGCATATTTGCTAAATGAAGTAGGAAAGATAAAGTAGGAAAGATAAGAAGTGATCTTCTCCATGTAGCCAGAGTGGGAAACAAGTGCAACATTCATCAGTACCTGAAAACAGAGAATCCAAAGCTGTATCAGCTGCATTTAACCAGGAATCAATAAGCCATCAATTTACAAGCCAGTCACTAAAAGCTGCCTGTTCTATTCTTGTGTTGCATTGTCCAGGCTTGAGGGGGATAAAGCAGAATCTGTACCAGGAGAGAAGGTTTTGCAGGCTTATCTTGAAGCACAGTTTTTGTACCATGTTAGAATCAAGAAACTGTACTTACTAGAGAGTTTGAGTTGTGAATCATTTCAGTGGTCCCAGATTTGCCCCTCAGTAGAGTGGACGTGTCAATGTTGCAATTATTCCAGATATTCTTTGGACAGTTTTTCCAGATCACAGCCTTGACAGGAATAAAACAGGGTAGAGTATGGGGGTGATGCCTTTGTGCAAAGCAAAGGAAAAATACTTTAAACTGTGAGAGATGTTCATATTTGGCTAACACCTTTATTTATAGGGGGATATAGGAATATTCCTGTAGATCTGATGCTTTATTCAGTTGTCAAGGATGCTGCTGCTCACTGAAGAACATGGCTTTGTTTAGAGATACACATTTATCTTCATTTTCAAGAGGTGGTGGTTTTGAAGGAATTCACACCTTTCATTACCCAGTCTGTTCTGAGCACTGGCCATTTTGTGGGCTTAAAAGTCTAAAGTGAAAAAAAAAAAATTAAAATAGCAAAGGTCCTGTTCAAAAGCTGTGGCTCTTTGCTTTAAGCGTAGAGGTGCAGGTAGAGCTTTTGACTTCCTCGATGTCCAAAACATTTCCATCGTTCTTGTGCCATTGCAGTGTTTGATATGAATGACACACGCAGAGATGGCTCTGTGAGGGCCATTCTGGACTTTTGCCTATGCTCTGCCTCCTCAGACCATCATCGAGCTGTCGGAGGAGCGGGACTGTCTCCGTTTCCTGCCGCACGCCTCGGCTGCACAGTCCCCGTGCGGTTCTCCCGGCATGAAGCGCACCGAGAGCCGGCAGCACCTCAGCGTGGAGCTCGCCGACGCCAAGGCCAAGATCAGGAGGCTGAGGCAGGAGCTGTGAGTACCAGTTCACACTCAGATCCTTTCCAAATGCTGCCTTGGCACACTTCTAGCCCCTTTGAAACCAATTCTTCATTCTTTCAAATGTTTGTTTTTAGTTACTGCTCCCCACGAGGGGTATTTTTATAACACAAAATTTGTAGACCCATGGGACAAATCCCACGTTTCATGTGTGTTTGTCTCTGTTTGTATTCATAATGATGTTTTGACCTAAATTTTATTCTCTGATGTCCCTGAAATCATGGATTAAAGGTGGAAGTCTCACAAAGCTCAGCATTTTGTTCTCAAACCAGGTGATCATTAAAAGGAGATGAGGCGGGAGGGATTCCTTCTCAGCAGCATGATTTGGTGACCTGTTTCCAACAAGAAATACTCACCTATGGTTAATTCATGTTTTAAAATCGTTGCAGATAGGGCATAAAAAATTCCATTAGAATGCTTTCCTGTCCTCCACCTCTTTGTTCCTGTGTAAAACATTTCTTGTCTGCACAACACTTACTTGCTCCTGAAAACTGTTCCTGATTCTTTGGGCACTTTGTCTTCATAGTCAAGGGAGTGAGGAGTTTAAATAACTCCTCACTCCTTTGACTATCAATAACAGACCTGTGGAGAAGATCAGTAACAGACCTGTGGAGAATATGCTTCTCCCTGTAGCAATGTGTCAGTTGTTTTAGCAGCGAAGTGTGTGTGTGTGTGTGTTCTGAATTAAAATGCTCAATCTGAAGAGATTCAATATGTGTAGAAGCAGCATAAATAAAGATTTTTTTTTTTAATTCAGCAATGGGGAGAGGAGACAGGTAAACTATATCGCAAGCTGAAAGTAGCGTAGCGTAAGTCACAGTTACCAGAGTTTGTTGATCAGATTATTTCTAGCTGGCTGGATTAAGGATCTTGTTGATTTACTCTGAGGATCCCCTTCCCCCACTACAGCATGGTCTTCATGAGGAACAGAGGACAAAAGATGGGGCTCTTTTTTCCTGATGTCTGTACTATTATGTGTCTCCTGCAATGAGCCCGCCCAGGATATTCTATAAACAGCTGCACCAAGAAAATTAGTGAAAAAATTGCTGTTATTAGTTTGATTGACAGTTAATAGATAGCCTAAACAGTGAACACTGGTATGTTCTGTATAATTTAGTCCAGTCCTCTCCAGTCTGTAGCTGCAGCATGCAATTAGGGCAACACTGATGGCTCAGAACAGTCCACATTTTGCACTCTTTATTTTAATTCAGTTGGTAAATAATTTCCCTTTACGTGTAGCAGTATCTTAAAATACCAGACTTGGATGAATTAACTTCTGTCTGCAGCATTTAGTGTTAAATGCTGCATCTATTTGATAAATTTTAAATTACATTAATTCCAGACTTGGAAATACTCAGCATAAAATTTATTTATAATCTGGTTTTGGCAGTGAACCTTCATATCTGGTTAATATGCAGTGTAGCTGATGTAATTTCCTATAAAAGGTCTGTAAATATTATTTTTCAACTGGATGCAAACTAGGGAATACAGCAACTCCAAAGATGGAATTTGCACACTCATTTTCTGAGTGTTGAGTTCTGTGTGTTCCCATATAGAACAATAACAGGAATATGGATACTGATGGAAAAGTTGCAGAAACCAGGAATAAATTTGTGTTTGTGCCTGGTTTCTGAGCACCTCTGGAGAGGGAAAGCTGTGACAGGGATGTTGCGCTGAGCTGTGCAGAGCTGAGTCTCCTGTGCTTGTGGGCTCAGTGACCTTTTCCAAACAATCCTTTCCCAAAAAGATCATTCATTGTGAAATTGGCTCATTTTTAAAAACAACTGCTCTAGTTTTATGTAAAACATGCCTAATTTTTGTTGGTATGATTACTTTGAGATAGCATTATAATTTCAGTCTATTAAATTTTCTTATTTTCCCCTTTTCTACTTTTGTTTCTTACTTGTATTTCAGAATGTGGGATAATATAATAACACATTTAAATATACAGTACATCTTTTAAGAATATTCAATATTGACAGGTGTTTCCACAGCAAATGTTTGTTCTGAGGTGCAGTTGAATTTTGAACATCAGGTGTTCTTTGTCTGTGAGAGAGTGAAATATTTCCTTTGCACTTACTCATGGTTTAAGAAACTAATTTTTTAAGGATTGCGAAATGAATTGGAAATTAAGAATTAGTCATATAAGAATTGTAGCATTCTCTGTCAAATTGTTTTTATCACAGGTTTCAGAGTAGACTCAGACACTTGTATTGTTTCCATAAAGGTGAAATTCATTGTGTGTTTCATGAAATTATTGAGCTTATTAAGCAGTATCTTCTTCAGTTGAGTCAAGGCACCTAAAACCCTTAATTCTTCTCTGCAAGAAAAGGAAAAATTACAGAAGTATAAAAGTGCTTTTAAAATTGGCTTTACTTGATTGTGACGAGGGGTATGGTTCTCCTGGAAAGAATTTGGACCTTTTGCATGTGTAATTCTGAGTTGAATTTTTAATGTGGATCTCCTGGTACACATTCATGTGTAATGTCTGTGGTTTTTTTACACAAAATCCCTTATTGCAAAAATTCCTTATTACGCCCTCTTTTCTGCCCTGTGTGAGTAGGAAACAACAATTTAAAGCACTATGAAAAGTCTTAACAAAATTTAAAATATTAGATAAAGACCAAAACCAAAAGAATAACTAAATCATAATGGCAACCCTAAATTTTACACACTGGTGTCCCTGAAATTGTGGGTTAAAGGTGGATGCCTCACAAATCTCAGCATTTTCTTCTCAAACCTGGTGATCATCAGCAGATTTTGTGGCCATGTTTGACTGGTTTGTGTTTTCTCCTTCAAGTGAGGAAAAGACTGAGCAGCTGCTTGACTGTAAACAAGAACTAGAACAGATGGAAGCTGAACTGAAGAGACTTCAGCAAGAGGTGTGGGTTTAATAATTTTATTATTTTAAGAAAAGTTGCCACCACCAGAACAATTCACCACTCATTTTTTGATATTGAGTATGTTTTCATGTTTGTTTTTTTATTTTGCATTCTGAACTTGACCTTGTAATGTATACCTTTATTTGGTGTATAATGTTGGGGAAAAATGCCCTGACTTAGGTTAGTTAGTATTTATTTTCTAATTTTTTTGTTTCTTCATTCAAGCTATTTGCTTGTGCATCCTCTGAAAGGATCTTCTTAAAATGAAAGCATTCCATTTTGTCTGATTTTTCTTTATACTTTGTGTGGTGATAATGAGGGGAAAAACCTTAAATACATACATAAATATACAGTATATATAATTATTGTGAGCCCTTGAAAGGGGCCAGTGCAGTTTCCTTGGAAATACAATAATCTACAATCCTCTATTATATATTTGATTTTTTTATTTGTATTTCTCAGAATTAAGAATACCCCTCTGCATTCCTTTAATTCAAACAATGAAGGAGCTGTGTTACCCTTCACCGTATTCTGTCCAGTCCTGCCTGTATTTCTATGTCTCCCTGTGTCCCAGAACATGAACCTGCTGTCGGATGCCCGCTCTGCCAGGGTGTACCGGGATGAGCTGGATGCGCTGCGGGAGAAGGCAATCCGCGTGGACAAGCTGGAGAGCGAAGTCAGCCGCTACAAAGAGAGGCTCCATGACATTGAGTTCTACAAAGCCAGGGTGGAGGTGAATAAATCCCGGGAAAAAAATCACCCAGAACCACCATTCTTCTCTTGGCTGGGGCTTTTTCAAAGTGTCTTTGGAGATTAAAGCATTGAGATGTGAGAAAGAGTTGCAGCATCTTGTTCTGGGATATGGCAGTCAGGTTTTTGTGACAAATTCCATTTTTTTGGCAACTGTTTCCGTGTGTAATGGCGTAGAAGTTAGCAGTGTTCATCAGAGTTCTAAGCTAGCAAGGCCAGTGGAAGCTTCTCTGAAGGATGCATTGAGAAACCCAGAGAGGAATTAATTCAAAAAATGCTGTAAATATAATTCCTTTTTCCTCTTGTAGGTCTCATAAAGGAAAGCAATTTTCTAAGTCAGGTGTTGAGGAAAGGAAGGCTGTTCACATAAATGAGTACAGGACAATGGCATAAAATACACTAAAACAAGATGTACCAACATCAGGCAAGGGGAACATACAGTTTTGGCATGGATTAGTAATTTAGGAGTCAAATCAACATACAGGATTTTATCAGGCCATCATTCTGTCTCTAAGTGCCAAATTTGATGGGCAAGTGCCATACGGTATAAAAATTAGTGAAGGAAAATAGATTACTATATAGGATTTGACAACAGTGGAAGTTTCATTTTCATAGGATGTTTAAATTAAAAACCCCCTAAAAATAGTTCATGTGTTTCATAGCTTATAAACTGTCTGATATTTCAAGCATTCTTCAGTACAGATAGATGTTAATTAGTTGGGTTTGCTTCATAGTAATTGTGAGTTAACTTAATATATGTGTAGGGAGGAGTATGAAGGATATTTATGGGATCTTTTTTCAGACTTCGCAGCTGACTGTGTGCTGAAGTTTGAAAAGTTTTGAGGAAAATTGCCAATTATATATTTTACACATTACTTTAATCAGATGCTATTAAAAAAATCCTGTATGTACCAAAATTGAAGCTTCTCAGGCCCTTTGAGAGTGGCTGGTTGTATTTTAAGATTGTGGTTGCATTTTCAGCATCACGGCCTGACTTTCGGCCCAGTGGCCTATAAACCTAATTTATAAAAAGTCTGTTACAGCTCCCAGTTTTACTTTAGGTTTCTGAAACTGGTTGTGATGTATATCAGAGTTTGTGTGAGCAGGTGAATGCTTCTGGTTTGGGATTTATGTTTTTTTGTTGTTCCATTTTTGCAGGAGTTAAAGGAAGACAATCAAGTGTTGCTAGAAACCAAGACAATGTTGGAAGATCAATTAGAGGGGACCCGAGCGCGTTCGGATAAACTGCACGAGTTAGAAAAAGAGAATTTACAACTAAAAGCTAAATTGCATGATATGGAGATGGTGAGTGACAGGGGAGCATGACAAAGGCAACTGATACACACTGAATTGAATTTCCATTTTTAATAAAAGCCTTCAAAATAGCAGGGAAGACAAGGAGTGTGATGATAAATGCAAAGATTCAAGAGTAATAGGTTTGATTTTTTTGATGTAAATCAGTTGTCACTTAAATATTGTGTTTGCCCCATGCACTTTGCTTCCTAATATTCAGAGAGAAGTAAACTTTGGAAGAGTAGGGAGTACTTGCTGTAGGGTATGAGGAGAAGAGGTTCATTGTAATCTTCTTTTTACAAAGAAGTTCAAAGTTCTCCCAACTTTTCCCAGTACCTCCCATCTCAGTGTCTAGGCAGATAAGAAAAAGCACTTTGCCTTTCCCTGTGACAACATAATAAAGATAATATAATATCGATATCAGTAGAATATAGATAATAAAATACTTTGCACATATTGAGACTTTTCTTTTAAGCTGTGAAATAATTTTCAAGGAGCGTGATATGGACAGAAAGAAGATTGAGGAGCTCATGGAGGAAAATATGACCCTAGAAATGGCTCAGAAACAAAGTATGGATGAGTCTTTGCATCTTGGCTGGGAGCTGGAGCAGATAAACAGGACTACTGAACTTTCTGAAGGTAAACGTAGTTAATACTTGCAAAGCGATTGAAATTGAAATCTCAGGCTGGGTAGCATTAGAAAATTAAATGTCCTTATTTCTGAAGTACTGAGCATGTTGTCCTCTGAAGAAATGCTGATTCCCATGTATCCATTGAGATACAGCCTATATGAGAAGTTTGTTCTTGTGGTTCTTGTTCAGTTAAATAGTGGTGTAAACCCCATAAATACCTTGAAATTACGTTACTTTGCAGTTCACACTTCTGTACTCTGCAGCACAGATTGTGAATCTTCTTGCTTTGCTGTTCTCAAAGTTAAGGAGAAGAGCTGTGGTAAAAATTTTGATTCTTCTTTATAACATGCTTGGAGACAAACTGGATTCTGTGCAAAGCACTTGGAGATACATCCTGAGTTGTGGGAAACAAATCTGTGCTGTGATTAGGAACATTAGGAGAGTAGAACATATTTTAATTTCTAGTATTTCTAATCCTAACCAGCTCTGGTCACCAAGAGGTCATTGGAAGGACCTTCAAAGGCTGTTAAGTCCTCTAAGTTTAAAAATGCAGAATCCAAAGAATTCTGGCTAAGAAGTCACCTTTTATTTGAATAATGGTCTTTTTCTCCTGCAGTGCCACAAAAATCACTGGGCCATGAGGTGAATGAGCTGACATCCAGCAGGTTACTCAAGCTGGAAATGGAAAACCAAAGTTTACTGAAGACCGTGGAAGAGCTGCAAAGTGCAGTGGGCTCTGTGGAAGGCAGCAGTTCAAGGATTCTGAAAATGGAAAAAGAAAACCAAAGACTTAGCAAGAAGGTAAAGGTCAGGGTGTGCTTGGATTGTGTGAGAGCTGCCTGATGTTCCTATTTTCTTCCTAAAGGGTAATTTTGTGAATCGCTGTTATTTTGGGTAAGGCATTCCAAGGGTCCAAGTGGAGTTACAGTGTTTGTAAGTTTATAAAAAATAAAACCACCTCCAAGAGGTTTTTCTCTTTTTTATTATGTGAGAGTATGACCAGTTTATTCAGAAAGGTCTTAGACTGGTGAGGGGAAAAATAATAATGTATTTGGGATATGATGAGTAATGAAAGTGGTTTAGAATACTGGAGAGCTTTTATTTTGGTAATTATGAAGCAGAAGAAAATGTGTGTGCAGAGGTGGAGGGTGAGTGTTGAGTCTGAGCTGAAAACTTGGTCCTGTGTCCTCATTTTAGCTGAGGAAGGGAGAAGGTGAGTCAAAGAATTGATAAACAGCTCAAGAGGGGAGTTTGTCAGGTTTAACTGTGCTAAGCTACAATACTTTGCTCCTCAAATTATGTGAATCAAATTAAATAATTTAATCAGTGGTATTTATAGAGAATAAAAATCAGAAAGAAAAAAAAAAGACTCTGGGGCTAATTACAGTGGAGTGAAAATGTCTGAAGTTCCTGAAATAGCTTTGACTTCAGCAGCTATTTCAGGTGAAAGACAATTCTTAGAGTGGGTAGGACATAATTTAAAAAAGAAAATTAAAGAAATCTCTACTGCATTGCATGCTTCCATAAGTTTTCTGATTCCTAAGAAGCTGGTGTTTTTTGGAGCAGCCTCTGTGCTGTGCTCAAAAGAAAGCTGGGAGGTACAATAGAAAGGAATAGGATTTAAGAAACACACCAACATCATTCAGGTCAACTTATTACTGCTTAAATGAGACAGAGAAATCATGCTTGGGTATTTTAAATTTTAAATAGTTTTGCTCTCTGCAAGCTGGAAACAGTTGACAAAATAAACCCATATATTTAATTCCCAAGGAATACTCCTAAATATCTCTTGAAATAGTTAAGTAAGATCAAACAACATTCAACCTTCCTAAGTTAAAAGGGGCTTGGAGGAGCAGTATAAATCTCACTGAAATGGAATTTTAAGAGAAAAAAATAGATGCTTGAGGAAATATCCAGAGCCTGAGAAAATCTGACCTTTTTTTTTTTTACAATGAAGTACTTTATAGATACAGTGTTCTGAGCCAGGGAGAAAATTCTGGCAGGAGTAAATGTATTCCCAGAATAAATTAATGTTTCAATTAAAGATCGGAAAATTCTGCTTAATTCTTTTCCTTAAGCTTATTTATTCATTTCTATAAGGGTGCCTTCAACCCAGATAAGACTCTCATTTTTAAGTACATTTTAAAACTTTTGTTTCTTTTCTCAGCTTGAAGAACTGGAGAATGAAATTAGCCAAGAGAAACAAAGTCTTCAGAACAGTCAAAATCAGAGTAAAGATTTGATGAAAGAAAAAGCACAGCTTGAAAAGACACTTGAAGCACTTCGAGAGAACTCCGAGCGGCAAGTGAGTAGTAGAACCAGAAGTTTTAATGCTGCTTTGTGCTCTGCTGGTCTCCTTTTCTAGGATTTTACAGACATAAAGGGATTGTAAATGTAGTGGATTTGCCAAAAGGAGATTCCTGCAGGAAAACAGCTTTGCTGGGAGCTGCAGCCAGTGAGAGACGTGACTCATTTCTGGCTGGGGCTTTCTTGGTGGGTTTAGAGCTTTGTGGTGTTTCTAACTCCGCTCCTGCGGCTTCCGTGGGCATCTGCTAGAGCTACTTGGAGGGTGTAGCTCAGCCAGGAGAAAACATTGGGAACTTTGGAGGGAGGCCAGACACCTCCCAAAGGAGGAGAACAGGTCCCAGACAGCTGGCAGTGTGTGGAGTGGTGTTAGAGTATTGATGGGAATTCCAGCAGCCTCGGGTCCAGCTCCATAATTCTGCCCTGCACTGGGATGGGTTCCTGCTGTGGCTACCTGGATTTATTTGTGGCTGCCAAAAACTGGCATCTGAATCTTTGTAAAAGATGTACCTGTGCCTGATGGGCACTGGCACCTTCTGAGGTGTTTGCAGGCACTGGCACCTTCTGAGGTGTTTGCAGAGCAGGCAGCAGGAAGAAAGAGTTCTGGAAGTTTCTGGAATTCTCAGATTTAGGAATTGAGTCCTTCAGAATTAGAATTGCTGTTAGCTTTTATAAATTCTCTGTATACCTCCTGATGACATGGCCATTTAGTTTAATTTAAAGTACAGTATTTTGAAATGCAGAATATTATATTTCAGAAATTGCTGACTATTTTTAAAGGCCATTAATCAGTAATGGAATTCCATAAGGAGGAAAAAAGGGAGGTGGAAAAAAAAAAGCTTGGCATGGAAGGTTTGCTTTCATTTAAAGATACATATCTTGTTTTAGGACTAATATTTCAGTGGCCTATTTCTGCTTAAAATTAATACACTTAGGGGCTGATGGGTCAACGGCATCTTCCATATTTCTTCCAGAATCCTGTGCTGACACTTACTGGGGACTGTAGAAGGTTAATTTGGTCGCATCCAAAATCCTGGAGGCATTTATCAGGATTTTTTGTAGAATTTGGATTATAGAAGCAAAATTCATGGATGGTAGTTCAGTGCCATGCCAGATGCTCCAGAGCTGTGTTTTTAGGTACCTGTTAAGGAGTTCCTGGTGACTATTCCAGAGCAGTTTATCATTGCTGGGAGCAGAGCCATGGATCTGTAATTAATAGTTCCATTCCCATTTCACTATGGAAGAACAACCTCTGATTTTCTCCGTCCGTTTTTCATTGCAAGCAGCATTTCTGCTTTTCTCCCAGACAGTTTATTGTTCAAACATCACTTACACTGGGTTATTAGTGTACACTTAAATATTGATCCAGACAGTTCTGATGAATTTTGCTGTCTGGTCTTACATGCCCAAATAATTCCAAATGATTTGGAACAATCTAAAAAGTCAAGAAATACTAAAAATTAAGGTGTAGGTTCTGCCTTTATCCTTGGGGTAGATCTGGGAAAATGTTTCCTAGGAAAATAATTCCAATATGATTTACTTTCTCTAAAGCTTGTTTGGAGCAGAATATCCAAAGGTTCTTTTTAACTCAAAAATCAGTGTAACTTTGGTGTGTTTCTTCTCAAATTGTTGTTGCATGTGTTCAGGATTCCCTCATCTCCCACCCATCACCTCTAGTTTTTCCAAGTGAACTAAAGAGACTTTTGTGGCTCCCATGTCTCCCTCCATCTCAGCTTTGGTTTAGAACTTGCTGCAGTCCTGTTCTTCGTGGACAGGAGACACAGCTCTGGAAATCACAGAGTGTAAGAAAAAACAATCTAAATATGGGTAAACACAACTGAAAATTAAATTTGCTAGGAAATAGGTAAATCTTTATTTTCATTTGTGCTTTATTAGTTTTGTGTTTACGTTTATCTATTAATATTCTAGAAGACGAGATTTGAAGATTTAGTTTGTTGTCAAACTTGAAATAATGTTTGTAATTCTTCACATAAATATTAGCAAAGTAAGAGATTTTCTTTAACTTAAAATAAAAGGTAAATATGATATGATGAGTATGTTTTAGTTTATATATGAAAGCAATTCCTTGTTGGCACGTTGTTTATCACTTTACCATTTTTCTACCCAAATTAGATTAAACTCTTAGAACAAGAAAATGAGCACTTGAATCAAACTGTGGCTTCTCTAAGGCAGCGCTCAGAAATCAGTGCTGAGGCAAGAATGAAAGAAATTGAGAAGGAAAATAAAATCCTCCATGAGTCTATCAAAGAGACCAGCAGTAAGTTAAATAAGCTTGAATTTGAAAAAAAACAAGTCAGGAAAGAGCTGGAACACTACAAAGAGAAAGGGGAGAGAGCAGAAGAATTAGAGAACGAACTGCATCGTACGGAGAAGGAAAATGAGTTATTACAGAAGAAAATCACCAACCTAAAAATCACTTGTGAGAAGATCGAGGCCTTAGAACAAGAGAACTCTGACCTGGAGACGGAGAACAGAAAGCTGAAAAAAACCTTGGATAGCCTGAAAAACCTCACTTTTCAATTAGAGTCGTTAGAAAAAGAGAATTCCCAGCTTGATGAAGAAAATTTAGAGCTACGGAGGACAATTGAATCCTTAAAGTGTACAAGCATTAAAGTGGCACAGTTACAGTTAGAAAATAAGGAGCTGGAGAGTGAAAAGGAGCAGCTCAAAAAAAGCCTTGAACTGATGAAAGCCTCTTTTAAGAAGACTGAACGCTTGGAAGTGAGTTACCAAGGCCTGGACACAGAAAACCAAAGGCTACAAAAAGCCCTGGAAAACAGCAATAAGAAGATTCAGCAATTAGAGAGCGAATTACAAGATTTAGAGACTGAAAATCAGACCCTGCAAAAGAACTTGGAAGAGTTAAAAATCTCTAGTAAACGCCTGGAGCAGTTGGAAAAGGAGAATAAGTTGTTAGAACAAGAGACTTCACAACTGGAAAAGGATAAGAAACAGCTGGAAAAGGAAAATAAAAGGCTTCGACAGCAAGCAGAAATTAAAGATAGTACCTTAGAAGAAAATAATGTCAAAATCAGTAATCTGGAAAGGGAAAATAAATCTCTGTTTAAAGAAATAGTTGTATACAAAGAGTCGTGTCTGCGCGTGAAAGAACTGGAAAAGGAAAACAAGGAACTGGTGAAAAGAGCTACCATTGATAAGAAAACCCTGGTCACTTTGAGAGAGGTAAACACAGAGGAGTTTCCATTCCCATCATAATCTGTTTATAATGTACGGAAATTTTATCTGGGTTTCTGATGTGGGTTTTTTCCCTGCATTAATCTGTGTACTATTAACACCTTTATGCATTAATGAAAATTTCTATAATCATAGTCATGGAAATGAAGAATATCATATTGCTGGAATGTTTCCCCTTCACTGTCATGTTCTAGACCAAATTTAAAGGGAAATTCTAAAGGGAAAGGAAGAGAGCACAGGGAAATCATATTCTAGTTGCAGTTTAATATCTGATACAGCTGAAAGCTGGCAACTGGAAGGAGACTTAAAGCTGAAATTATTCCAGTCATGTAGTGATAAAACACGCTTGTCTCAGCACTCCTAGGACTGAGATTATGCTATTTTATTTCACTGAAAATACTGACTGTAGTTTTTTCTTTGCAAGGACTTGGTGAATGAGAAATTGAAGACTCAACAGATGAACAATGATCTAGAAAAACTGGCCCATGAGCTTGAGAAAATTGGCTTGAACAAGGAGCGTCTCCTGCACGATGAGCAGAGCAGTGATGACAGGTGAGAATGGCAGGGCCTACATGACAAAGAGGACAAATGAGGATCTTTTTTATTCATAAAGTGGTTTTGCAGACTGGTTCTGTGCATGCTCTTAGATTTTTAAGGCACGCTCATAGACCCAAAAAGGAACTTGATATTTTTGGAAATTATTTAGTTCTTGTGCTTTCACATTCAGCTGACTATGACAGTGAGTTGCCACTTTTTGTTGCTAAGAGACTCATTGAAGTATGTCAGGAGATAGTTAATTATAATTAAAATGTTTTATGCTCTAGTCAGCAGCAGCAACAGTAGCAGTAAAAGGTAATTAGCTCAAAGTAATTTTTTTCCTTTTTTGTCTGCCTGTCTGGCACAAATGGTTTCTATCACATAGTGATTACCCTAAACTATCTCACTCTTTCCTTGCAACCATTTCCTTCTTATTCTTCCATCCTAAAGGAAGCTGCATTTCCCTGGCTGGAAAGTGTCCAGTGCTTGAGTGTCTCCAGAACTTGGTGGTGGCTCCATCACTCCTCCACACCTTCCACTGGACAGCAGCTGCTGCCCTGACATCTGTCTCCTCTGCTGCATTTTCCTCCTCTGCCTTATCCTGCAGGGATTTAGGGAAAATTGATGACAAGAGCAAAGCAGACAGTGTAGACTTCCAGCCAAGCTTTGCTTCCCAGTGCAGTACTGCTGTCATGATGTATTATTAAAACTGATTGTCCTGAGCATGGAGATTGATATGGGGCCTTCTGTGTCCAAAGGAACCCAAATAACACTTGAATCCAGCTTCCCTTTCCTAGTGCTCTGTCACAGGGGTGGTGCAGGGTCATATGTTGCCTCGTCTTGGTTTCTGCTGGTGGCTTTCACCTGCCTTTCTCAGCTCTCAGATGAGTTCAGGAAAAGTCCTCAGAACTTGAACTGGTTGGATTTCTTCTGATTTATGCATTTCTGTGCCACATAAAGCACTTGATAAGCACTTGGTGTGTCCTTAGATAAATCTACCAAATAAAAAACCACCAGACCTCAATCCAAGGTGAAGCTTAAACTTAGATGAAGCCCAAATGGAGCAACATTTAATCAAGTTCTAGGTTAGAAGTTGTTGGGCTCTGCTGCTGTCTTGAGCTTCTTCCCAAGCTCCATGTAGAGCTTGTAGAATCATGAAAGGGCAACGTTTGTTTTCAAAGTGAAAGCTAGGATTGGTTTGAAATTTTGCTCTGCCCATAAATATCCTGCTTTTCCATTGCTCTCAACTTCTTCATTCATTCCAAAGATATCTGGATTGCTTTCCTTACATAACAATACATAGGTGAGTCATTACTGGCTCTTCCATCAGGGCTATGAAGAGCTTAGGTTCATTATGGATAAAATTACTTCTCAGTGTAGTTTTTCATCTGCCTCTGTCATTTTGGTAATGGAAATTAAAAATGTACCATTTTACTCTTCCTGATTGGAAAGAGCTGCTTGTGGTTTTTAAGAAATGATCTTGGTAGCACCTCAGAGTCTTTCTATTGAGGTCTAAACTGGTCACGTTTTATGAGTTAACTTGGAAGTGTTTTTCATTTTCTCTTGCCTGCTGTCCTTGGACAAATAGATTGATGGATTTTGACTCTGAATCCAAAATAACCCAACCTGCAGTCATATTCAAAAATGTGTACCATCTTTCATTGTTCAAAGTGTAAGTGGGTATTGGATGTCTGCTATTATTTTTTTGTCTCCTTTGTTTTCTGTAAAACTGTGTCATTTTTTAGTAGCAGGAATTACTTGTAGCCAAATCTGAGCTTTGGCTCAGGAAGGTGAAATACTGTATATTCTACTAGTCACAGGCTGCCTACTATTCCATAAATCCTTGGGAATCAGTTGTCATATCTGAAAATCTTGTATTCCCCTCCTGCTGCATGATGCTACTGGACAGCTTTCTGCTTATTAATTCTCTTCCCATTGGTCTTCTGCTCCAGTTCCTGACTGGATCTGATGCCATTGTCCATTCAGGAGTCTGCTGCCGTTTATTCCCTTCACTAAACTGATGGATCTTTCAGCAGCCAGGATTAGAAAGGGGGATATCAATGGTTGGGTTTATTTTATCCAGTTGTGGGGAGGAGTGGAGTGTTCTCCAGATTCTGAGCCACACACAGGGACTGAACTGCTTAGAAGTGATTAATGATTGTGGGTTTCAGTATTTTCCATGAAGGATGTGCAGTTCTAAATTAATACAGATTAATCTGATCACTTCTTTCTCAAACTGACATTTTGGGGGGTTTTCAGTGCCCTACTAATATTGTGAATATGGTTAAAAATGGAAGCTTTGCACATCAAGGGTGGCAACAGTCTTAAAATATCAGCAGCTGGGCTGAGTGAGCAATTTGCACATTGATGGCACCAAACGAGTGTGCACCTGCACAGTGCTGTGCTCCATCCATCTCCTTCCCTGCCCTCCTGTTTGGAGCTGGCAGGAAATGGGAACTGATGAAAATCTTGCTCTCCAAATACTTCACATCCTAATTGAGTTCAGGTCCCCACTGGATTCACTGGAGTGGAGCCAGGAGTGCAGGCACCACTCACTAATGATGCAGAGAAACCCAGCACCCCCCTTGGGTGCCTGAAGGGGTCTTTTTCTGGGTCTAACACATTTTAAAAGAAAGGAGGAGTCAAAAATGGTTTTGACAACCATCTTCTGGTTATTTTTGAGATAGAACTTGCTGTGGATGCTGAGGTGTCTTCATACTTTTGACCACAGCACTCAGGGATTTTTGAATATCGCTATGAGACTTTTCTAGAACAATTTAGAATTTAAATACCTCAAATAATTATTTAAAATACAGACTCTTTCTTGTTGTTGGCCAGTAGGTACAAGCTTTTGGAGTCCAAATTAGAATCCACACTCAAGAAGTCTCTGGAAATAAAAGAAGAAAAAATTGCTGCTTTGGAGGCTCGTTTGGAAGAATCAACAAATCTAAACCAGCAGCTACGTCAGGAACTGAAAACAGTAAGGAAAAGGGCATTTTTCCATAATATTAAATGAGTTGCTGTTATTTCTACACTTTTTGGGTAAAACAAAACAAAACCAAAAATGGGCATCATTCAGGTTATAGAAAGCAGGACAAAGGTATGAATGTTTTTATGACTCTGTTGAAATCACGTGAAAAGTTGTTGAGCTTATTCACTGGCCATGAAAACATCAGCTGGATAAATAACCTGGAGTTGATTTGACTTGGGATGTAATTTACAGTTACATTTTCTGGCCTACCTTGAGCAGCCTGAGTAGATTGGTTAAAAAAGGAAATTCTATCATGTTGGTTGTAGAATTTCAGTAAAAAAAGCTGGAGAATATAGTTAAAATCATTGAAATAAAATAGGAAATAGAGGTCTGCTATTTGTTGGGGTTAAACTGTCCATATCCATAAATAATTTGTACATCATCCCCCCAAATATGTACAAAAACCAAATTTACAAATATAGTAACATGACTTCCTGTTCTTTGAGAAGGATCACGGTCAGATAATAAAGTAATAAATTTGGATGTACAAAATGGAAAATTCTAAACCTTACCTAAGTTGTCCTAAATAATTCCAGGTGAAGAAGAACTATGAAGCTCTCAAGCAAAGACAAGAAGAGGAAAGAATGGTTCAGAATTCTCCTCCAAGAAGTGGAGAAGGAAATCAGTCTGTCAATAAGTGGGAGAAAGAAAATCAGGAGACTACTAGAGAATTACTGAAAGTTAAAGATAGATTAATCGAGGTGGAGAGGAATGTAAGATATGTTTTAAATATGATTCTGTTGGTAATTATGTGTGGTGAGCTGTTCCAGTAATGCAAATGAGGGTGCTGTTAAGACACTTGAATTTATCACCTTGTTTCCATCCCAAGCAGAATCTGAATTAAATACAGTATGTGTAGCAGCTGGATTCTGCTCTGTGGGATGCCATAAAGCACCTAACAGACATATAAAAAGGAAATGTGAAAACCTGAATTTTCCCTTTTGAACCCACAGCTCTCTCTCAAATCCCTGTTATATAATCCCTATTTACACCAGTCCTGGAGGTTCCTCTCCTTTTTCTCCGTAGGTGCAACATCTGTTACCTGTTTTTCCAGTGATAAATCCCCCCAAAGTGTGTTTGTTGTGCAGTTTTATCCCACCCTGTAAATCTCTGCCTGGTCCTGCTGCTTTCTATCATCTGGAAAACACTTCTGCTTTATCTTGGAGTTCCTGGAGCAGCTGTGAGCTGAGGTTTTGTGTGGTTCTCCCCCCAGAATGCAACGCTGCAGGCGGAGAAGCAGGCGCTGAAAACACAGCTCAAGCAGCTCGAGACACAGAACAACAACCTGCAGGCCCAGATCCTGGCCCTGCAGAGACAGACTGTGTCCCTGCAAGAGCAAAACACTACTCTGCAAACTCAGAATGCCAAACTGCAGGTAATGCTGCCTTAGTTTGCTCTCAAAAATAAAATTAAAGGCTTTTTTTTTTCCCAAAGGAAAACTTAAAATACATTACCGTTAGCTTTAAAATCACATTTGGCTTCTTGCAGAGATGTGGGAAAGAAGGTGATGTGAAAATAATCTGCAGTGAAAAATAGTTTGTTTGCTCATGAATAACTACATTTTTAGAAATTGGTTTTAATCCTTTGTCCAATGTAAAATCTTGACTTTGTACTTAGAAGTAGAGTAGATTCTCATATCAGTCTTCCAAGATTCCTTGAGTTCTTTATTGTATTTATACTTCTGAATTAGATCAGGGAAGTACTGTCTCTAACCATATTCTAATAAATTTTATCTATTTTTATAAATATTTTTTTAAATGAAAATAAAGCCATAACTAAGAGGGAAATCATGACACTTAAATACATAAGATTAAAAAAAAAAAAAAAAAAACAAAATAAAATTGAAAGCTACAAAATAAGTAAATACCTGAATTTAGATAATTAAGAGGCAGTAAAAAAGGTAATGTGGGACCATAGAAATTATGAAAATGGCTATCCCCCGAGTCTTGCAGCTCTTCTGGCCAAAATTCAGATATTGCCCTTAATAGTTTAATAGGGTTATTAAGTATGTACCTTTTTTCTTTAAACGTTAATATTCTTGTTAATCAGTTTAATGCTTTTGATGTTCTAAGAATCAAAACTCCTTCAAGAGAGAATAAAAACCACACAATGCCGCAGAAGTAGTAAAGAGTGTCAGAAAGGATGGAGGGCTGATGGAAGTCAAGATGTCAAGGACTGTTTAAATGGAACAAATAATGCATTTGGTGGATGCCTGGAGTCTTCTCCTGGCTCTTCTTGGAAAGCAGAACATTGTTTTCCCATGGATGCACTTTCTGGTGCCACATTGAAATGTCATTAGTGCACAGCATTCCAGTAAAACAGGACATTAGTACACACCCTGTGCCACCTCTGTTTGTTAAAAGCCCAGTAGATATGATGTGGAAGTATACCATTTAACCAGATGAGAGGGGATTTCTGGGATTCAGAGCTCTCTGAGTACTTTGTAATTCCCTTCATCAAAAAACCCCAGGAATATCTATGTAGTTCCTTTTTTGCCTCATGCCCAGCAGCACAGGCCTTTCCTCTCTGGCAAGACAATTCTTCATGAACTGCAAATCAAAGTGAAGTTAAAATATATTCAGGAAAATCAATGTGATGAACTGTTGGCTAAATCTGAAGTGCAGACTGGGCTGCTAGTTTACCTGGACTGTGCCAAAATTGTTCCTTGGCAGCTAATTCTTTTCCTCCTGATACCCATAAGGAGCAGTCAAGGGAAAGAATGTCTGAAAGGGTAACTCTGACCTAACCAAGGGGAATTCTGACCTAACCAAACTCGGGATTCAGCCTGGGAAGTTTCCCAGCACACCCATGCCATCAGACATTACTTCATTTCCAGTGAAAGATTCTGCTTTCTCATCTGTAACAAAGAACACTGCAGTTCCAGCAGGAAGGGATTTGTTCCCTGGTAACAGTGGGAACTGGAGTAAGAGATGGAATTTTTGTTTCTTAATAGATACCCTGAGGGCATTAGAAGGCTCAGTAGTTTGTGGTTTTCGTCTCTTGAACAGGAAAGAGAAGGGAGCTGATACAGGTCAGGTGACAAGCACCAATTCTTTAGGATACCCAAGGATTTCTCCAGAGGCACAAAAAGTGAAGTTGTTGGTTGATTGGAGCTTTTTTAAACTATTTAATGTTGAAGGCTTTAGTGTATTAATACACATGAATACTGTTCTGGGACAGCTGTTGGAAAACTGGTGCTGTTCCACAAAAGAGCACAGAAAAGAATGTGGGTAGTTCCTTCCAGGTTCTATTATCTATCTCCTTCTCTCTCTTAAATGGATGTTCCTGTTGGAACTCTCATTGTGAAGGAATGTGTGGATGCCATGAAGAATTTATGGTGACAGTGCAGAATTTTTAAAAAAATAAATCTCCATGCCAGTGTGAAAGTTCCTTTTATTTTAGTCATGTCACAAATTTGGCTTTTATTAGGATCACTGGTGATCCATTTCTTCAAGGTATCTCGGTGCTAGAGGAAAATAGCCCTGTCAGTAAGATAACACTTTAACAAATTTTGAAAGGTAAATAATAATTCAATCCGTTCCTGTCAATTTAATAACATGCTTCAATACTTTCTGCTAAAAAGTAGTCTTGGACCATTTTGAATTGGAGCTGTCTCCTGGGGTATAAAAAAAGGTTGTCAGTGGAGCAGCCAGGAGGTCGAGAAGGCTTAAACCCAAGAAATCTTTAGGTGGGAGATAAAATAACGCAGACTACGCAACGTTTGTGGCTGCAGGTTGAGAATTCCACGCTGAACTCGCAGAGCACGTCCCTGATGAACCAGAACGCACAGCTGCTGATCCAGCAGTCGTCCCTGGAGAACGAGAACGAGGCCGTGCTGAAAGAGCGCGAGGACCTGAAGGGGCTCTACGAGGCCCTGCTCAAGGACCACGAGCGCCTGGAGCTGCTGCACGAGCGCCAGGCCACCGAGTACGAGTCCCTCATTGCCAAGCACGGCAGCCTCAAGTCTGCTCACAAGAACCTGGAGGTGGAGCACAAGGACTTGGAGGATAGGTAAATATTCAGGAGAACTAGTCTGCCATTCAGTAGAAATCACTCTCGAATAAAATGATAGAATGAATAAAATCACTATCACAGAGGCCGTTTCATCAAAATCCCCTCTTTTTTTAAGTCATTCCACAAAAGGAAGTGAATATTGTCTTTGCAGGTACAATCAGTTGCTGAAACAGAAAGTGCAGCTGGAAGAACTGGAGAAGGTTCTCAAGACAGAGCAGGACAAAATGCTTCAGCAAAGTGAGAAGCATGAAACTGTGGCAGCAGAATATAAAAGACTTCGGGATGAAAATGAAAGGTAAAGAGAATTCTGGCACCTGAGGATCTGTCAGTGCAGCCTAAACAAATGGTGTGTTCTTCACATTTCTTTGACACCTGACGCTGCTATTCCATATATTCATGATCCCACAAAAGTAATCATTATATGCTGAGGGGACACATGGGACAAAGGTGCGTGGCAGGGCCCAGGAGGAACAAAGGGAGCCCAGGAACAGATATCTATTACCTCCATGATTGCCAAAGTTTGGGCCATTCCTGTTTTGTGTTGGCAAGAAATCCTGGCTGTTTTGTAAGATTATATTACTCTGAAAAGTGGCATCTTAAAACCAGTTGTGTCTAGTAGAGATGGTGCTTTGTATTTAAATATACAGAGAGCAGTGCTTGACTCAAAGGCAGAACACATTCCTAGGAAAATTAGGCTGGAATAACTTAGGATATGTGACAATAAGGAATTTGCATATGTAGTTGGAATTGTCATGTTTCAGAGGGAGTGTGGGTAACAAATTCATTTCCAGCACTCTTTGATGGTGTCTTTGCATCCTAGGCTCACTCACACATACAATCAGCTCCTGAGGGAGAATGAAGTGCTACAAACTGACCACAAGAATCTGAAAACATTATTGAACAGTTCCAAACTGGAACAAACACGGTTGGAAGCTGAGTTTTCTAAACTCAAAGAACAGTACCAGCAACTGGATATTACATCAACAAAGCTAAATAATCAGTGTGAGGTATGTGGGAATTGTGCTGTTTGTAATGGCTGGAATCACTGGAATATTTTTATTTATAGGTTCATAAAAGCATATGAAGTGCTGGAGTATTTTGTATGACTTCATATGGAGTCATTTATAGATAATGAAAAGTGGATCCAAAGACTTATTAATCTGCCTACTGTACAGGCAATTCACAATTTCAGGCTCATATTAGGGAAACTGGTTTAAATTATTTAAAGCATCAAATAGGCTTTTATCAGTTGATTTGTGATTTCATTTTGAGTTTGATTTTACTGTAAGAACCACTCTGTAGACTTAAATTATCTTGATAATCTCATTATCTGTGTGTAAAATACACTCACATATAAATGCATGGGCAATTTCCTCTGTTTTAACAGCTGCTCAGCCAACTTAAAGGAAACCTGGAGGAGGAAAACAGACACCTGCTGGATCAAATCCAGACCTTAATGCTTCAGAACAGAACTTTACTGGAGCAGAATATGGAAAGCAAGGATCTCTTCCATGTAGAGCAAAGGCAGTACATGTGAGTTGTGAAAAACAGGAAATCACTGTGATTAGGGCAGTGACACCAATACCTGCATTTTTTTAAAAAAGCTTCTGTTAAATATAGAATTTTACACATGTGCTGCTTCTGAAATGTTTCTCTTTAAAATAAGAATTTCAATGATAAATGTAAAACAGATAACTCAAAATATCAACATTATATTTGCAGTTCTAAAGGATCAGTGCAACTGTGTTCATTACTGATTATGCAAATAAGGAATAAAACTGATATATAATCCTCATTCTACTACTGGCAAAGTTTAGATTTGTAATCATTGTATTTGTAGATTGATAATATCCACGCGTGAGTCTACATACATTGTAGATTAATTTATAGATTTGTAATCTAAACTTCTTTAGTGGACTTGAGAGAAGAGAAAATGTGCTTATCTAAATGTTAGAGCACTTTTTTTAAAAAGGAGGAATGTGTAAAAAAGGCAAATGGAATTTTATTCCATTTTATATCATGAAGTTAAGCCAAAGGCTGATTTTTTGCTGTAACTCTTGCTTTTTCAATAAGAAACAGTGTTAGGTAAGAATTCCTCACAAAAGGTGACAACTCTCAGATAACAGATTCCCTGAGGAATGTGCTACCCACGCATCCTATATACGTTTTTGACGTGTAAATTATCATTAATTTCTGTTTGCAGTGACAAACTGAATGAATTGAGGCGGCAGAAGGAGAAACTGGAAGAGAAGATAATGGATCAGTATAAGTTTTATGAGCCATCTCCACCAAGAAGGTACTGATGTAAAATAAAATACAGCTCTAAAGCATGGCAGACCTATTCTGTTCCCACTGAAAATCAAGATTCCATTGCATTCATGGGATCAGAATCATGTCTGTCTTGTATAAAAATTAGTTGACTCTGCAGGCCTAAGTAATGTGTTACAAATGCAGTGAATGTGCTGTGGTTTTGATGACAGAAGGGGCAACTGGATCACCCTGAAGATGAGGAAGCTGATCAAGTCCAAGAAGGACGGGAACCGCGAGCGCCTCAAGTCGGCAACGCTGACACCCACGCGCTCCGAGTCCAGCGAGGGATTCCTGCAGCTGCCCCACCAGGACAGCCAGGACAGCTCCTCTGTGGGCTCCAACTCCCTGGAGGACGGGCAGACCCTGGGCACCAAAAAGAGTAGTAGTGAGTACTGCAAACCACTTTGTTCCGTGAATAAACCTTGGCTAAATGTTGGAAAAGACTGCGTGTTGTGGAGGATTTGTAAAGATCCTTTTTTAAGTCTGTAGGAATGAAGCCTGGATTAATTTATTAAGGACAGAACTTCTTGCAAACTCCCTGAAGTGTTTGAGCAGAACTAGTTTTGAGCATTTCTGTATCTCAAAATGTAAGTGTTAAAGTACACTCACAGTGCCTGGGTAAGATGAAGCAGGCACTGGTACTGGGTCAGGTGAGCAGAATTTGGGATAGAATGTCAGGTGTCACCACAAGGACCCTTTTGTTTCTCCCTCTTGTCCCAGCATGACTCTTTCCCTTGTCTTGGAAGTTTTTTCCAAGCTGTGGCTGTACTAACATCCTTAAGTTGTTAAAAACACCTTCTTTCTGAAGGTGTTCCCTCAGCATCTCACAAAACCAACGATGGAATTTGGATATGCAAGAGGAAGTGTTAATGTAGAAACACAACCTGGTAAAAGTACAGGAATTGTTACTGATCCTGAAGTTGGAGTGAAGTGGTGGTTGAAAGGGAGAATGAGGACTTGCAGAAATGTGATCAGATGGAATATTCCAGGTACAATTTGCTGACCTTGAAAGATTTGATAGCCATCCCATTAGGGTGCCCCCATTAGGATATATAAGGCCAGATTCTGTTTATTATTATCTATTGGTTTTTTGTTCTTCACTTTTGGCATGAATCATAAGCTGCCCAGTTTCTCACGACTTGAGAGATAGTTATAGCCAAGTTATCAGGATGTAATGGTTCTATTTAATAACTATGCACCAAAAGCATTTTGGCTGTGCATGTAAAAGCATCAGAATCCATGCACATTAACAGTCACTTCCAATGTTTGCACTACTACTTTTAAATTTAATGTTTTGGGTTTCAAAAGACAGCAGGTCTGGGGTTTGTGCCAGCTGTGAATTATTACAGCCATTATGATGTGGATTTTTTTTCTTCTGTGCTTCTTGAAGAAGCTCAGTCAAAGTTAGAAACATCCCAGAAAATGCTGTTTCAGGAAAAGTTAAAATCAGATCTGTATTTTTTTTAATAACGGAAGAAAATAGTTCAAGGGTACATTTTAGCACTTTTGTTACTAACTTATCCCTTTGGGGAACTCAGCCTTTTTCAGTTAAACTTTAAACAGGTACTTCTAAACTTTCTTAAAAAGCAACTGTTGCTTTTACATCCAAACCGTGAGTGGTGTGGAACTGGGGAGTGACTGAAGCTGTCCTGGATGTGTGTCAGTGGGAACTGAGAGTGTGCATGCTGTGGTTCAGCCCATCTGCATCTATGTCAGCAGTGTCATGTTCTGGAAGGGCTTTTCTGTGACAGTTTTCTTTGCATGATCCTTGGGACCTTGTAGTGTGCAGTTACCCTCCTGGGGAGCCATGGCTTACAGTGGCTGAGCCTCAAAAGAGGTTTGAAGCTGTTCAGACCTCATTAATTTTCTACTCCATGGACCTTGCTCATGTTCCTCTTAATCCCAGTGTATTTATCCACAAACTGGAAGGGCTGATCTAATTTCGGATCCTAACCTTCCTCCATTACACATGTCGCCATGGAAACCAAAGTTTTGGAGAGAATTTGGATGCGTTTTGTGCCAACTCAGCTCTGACAGTCTCTGAGACAGATCTGAGACAGTTTGTGCCTCACAAAGCAGAGAGAATATCTCAGTGTGACGAATGATGGTGATGGTGCACATTTTGCAGTCTACTTCTTCTGCTCCTAGAGTGACAGTAAGTCCTAAATCCTGGGATATGGGGTCCTTTCTTTTCCATGGGAAGCAGTTTGGCAGTAGCAGCTTCACTGAAGGAGCTACAGGAGGGAACAAACGTGTGCGTGCTGCCTGTCTGTGCCAGTGCTCAGGTGTTGGAACTCCCTGTGCTGGCTGAAGGCAACTCTGGCTCTGGAAGATTCTGTTGCCACCTTGACCTCCAGCAGCTGGGGAAGGAGCTGGCTCCAGCAGGAGCTGCCGAGGTGAAATGTCCTGCGTGTCCTTGAGGGGGCAGGAGGAGGCAGGTCACCTTCCCTGGCACACACCAGCAATGTTCTGAGCTGGAGGACTGAGTATCTGACACAGAGATCTCCAGGATACACTGGGCTCACACCCCCCCATTCCCTGTCAGAGATACTGATTTCAAAAGTGTTTGCTGTGTGTGACATCTGTAGTTTTTCCTCTTTTCTGGGTGGTGATGGAGATTGTGTTTTTCCAACACAGGCCACTTTCTCATGCAAATGTTTCCAGGAGAGCTGTTTTCTCCCTGGGAAAGGTGATCTTGGCACAAAAATCAGGTTACCCTGTTCTCGGAGAACACCACCTGAGGTCTCAGCGTGGCGAGAGCCTGTGTCCTGATCCCTGTGGGAAGAAGGGGGTGCCTGGAGGGCTCTTGCTGTCCCAGCACAGGTTAATCCTGCAGGACGTGTGTGCTTCTTGACTGCTGGGTTTCACCTTGGCTTTCCATGCCCACTGGAAGTATAGCCTTCTTGTTCCCAGGTATTGCCCACAAAGTATTATTGATCACCCCTCATGATCAGGTGAGTGCCATGGATCTGACCTGCTCTGTGCAGAGTTTTCCTCTGGATGAGGCCATTCTGAGCTTTTCCAGAGAACACCCAAAGGAGGCAGAGGGGATTTTTGTTTTCTGTGGAGAAATACAGATATTCTTCGCCAGCTTCCACTTTTGCCATTCCATGAAATTAACAAGTTCCCAAGGAATTAGGGCTGTTAGTATACTGTCAGCTCTACTAGGAACACCAGTAGTAGGTAGGCCATGTCACAGAGGGAATAAAAGGTGTGTTCTGGGCTCCATTTTCCAATACCAAGGCATTTTGAAGATTTCTTCTTCATATTTTCTTCTGTGCATAACGAAAGAGTATTGGGATTTTAGTACAGAATTCTCCAGAGGATTCCAGGCAAATAGGAGAGTTACAAAATAGGATGTTTCCTACTCACTTGAGGAATTCTGCAATACTCATCATTCATTCTCAGCTCAGAAAGCAAGAAGGTATTCATGGAATACTGAAAAGAAAAAACAGTTGATTTCTGCTGTAGCCATCCCAGGATTAATAATTATTATTACTATTCCAGGACATATTCAGAGGTGACTTCTGTGCAGATATTATTGCCACAGTTTCCCTCCAAGTATTTTGCCTTTTGATGCAGGATTTGCAGGACATCAGTGGTTGCAGGGGAGTTTCCTGGTGGGCACAGTTGCCGAGAGCCATAAATCAGCCCTATTGAAGGGGATCTGTGTTAATGGACAGGAAGGACAGATTACTCAAACGGTTCTTGAGCATCCTCTGGTAACTTTTTTCAAAATATTAAGGAGTATTTAGTGAAAGGAGTCAGTTTTCTTCCATAAAGGATTACAAAAGGATGAGTTATTTTGTCTGTAAAGGATTACAGAAGTTACAGAGGAATTTTTTTTTTCCTGTGCTGTCTTGATGACAAAGAGTAGAGATAGAACAGAATGACCTCTGTTGCTGGATTGGTTTGTGAACCTGTTCCTGTGGGTGCAGACATGGGAAGAGCTGTTGGAGAGGGAGGAATAGGGAGTATTTCAATGCCAGGGTATCTCATGTGCACTTGTAAATGGTATATATTATATATATGCACTGCTCTGTACACAGAACTGCTGTGTGCCAGGCTGGGGGAGCAGGGAACACCTGCCAAAAGGGGCTGCAGAGACAAACCAGGCAGAGCATGGTCTGACAGACCTCTGCAGAAAGCAGAGCTGCTGCCATCTCTGCAGAAATCACCACTTTGGGGAATTCCGTCCTGTGTCTCCTTCTGGATCTTTCCATGGTGGCTCCTGTGCCTGGCATCGGCCCCCAGACTTACCCAAGGCAGGTCAGCAGTTCCTAATGCAGAGTTCCTGACTCCAAGGACAAGATTAACTTGTGACTTCCCCCTCCTCCCTCTTTTAATACTATTTGTAATTTTAACTCTGTAATTCTCCTGGTAGAAGTTAACTCGGTTTTCCTTGGGCCCTCCCACAATTTTACAGCAACACTCACATTTGGATTTTCTTCTGCTGTTTTGGTTTTTTTTTTCCTTTGGTGTTTTTTCAGCTAAAATATTTGCACATTTGAAGCAGATTGATTTTACCGAAATACTGCCCACAAATTATATTTGATCAGAAGGCCTTTGCAGGTTTTCTGTGAGACAGTAGATGACCAAAGTTTTTACTGAGCACAGAATGGAAGAACTGAAGACTCATAATAGACTGTGTCCTCTTAGACTTGCAGGCAAAGCATTACAGAAATTATTAACCCCCAAAAATAACAATGTGAACATATTTTAACATAGAAATTGTACTTAGAGTTGCTTTCATTTTCAGCTTTTCTTGCTTCACATTTTTCTTTATGTTCAAAAATATGCTGTTTTTCACAGTAAAAATTACATAGTGGTCAATTCCTGTAATCACCTGCAAGGAACTTACATTTATTTTCTCAAGAGCTTCAAATTGTATTACCCTCTGCACTGTAATTTTCAGTGCATTTCTGAGTTATCTGTGGAAGTTTTTCTAGTGCAGTTTTCCTGTTTCAGTGTACTTTTATATTTCATTATCATCCAGAAGCAGGAGAATGATAGCTTTTAGCATAGCATACCTAGCTTAAACTCAAGACATTCATTTCTGTCCTTAGTTTCAACATTTAACTTCCATCTGTTCTTCTCCCTTTTTTTCTTTCATTTCCCTGTTTCCGTTTTTCCTCATGCTATGACATAAAAGTGGGTGCACTGAAAAGACTGCCCTTTTTGAGGAACAGACCGAAGGAAAAAGACAAAATGAAGGCCTTCTACCGTCGCTCCATGTGTAAGACTTTATGACAGTTCAGCTTCTTCTCAATGGCTACACTGGCTTCCGTTACTAATTTTTCACTAACCTCTCCCTGGACTGCGCTCTATTTTTCCTCCTCTTTTGCAATGTGCAAGTCCTGCTACAGTACAAGGAGCTGGAGCTTTTTCTTTTTACTTTTCACCCCCCCTCCTTTTTTTAAAAAAAAAACCAAACTTTGGCACTGAATACTTTATGTCTGCAGCTGTGCACACACACAGCCACATGTTCCCATGCACGTGCATAATAATTTATTCAGTGCCTTGTGACTGCATATATTTGTATACATAGCTGTCTATATACACATGGCCCCATGTGTATATGAATTTACAGTGCACTGTGTTAACAGGAATAGTTTTAAATTACACGTTTCATAAGCCTTTTGTTAAGAAGTCACTGTAATTTTTTTTTTTGTTTGTTTAAAGCAAGTGTAGGAGATTGTGCAAGGCTCTCTGGTGGTGTGTCACTCTGCGAGTGTTCATCGGTTCTCGTTGCCAGAATGCTGCATTGATTTCTTTTGTTTCGTTTTATTTTCTAATGAGGGGTAAACAGTTTTCTCGAGTTTGGGGAAGTAAAGGTGAATATCATCAGATGTGGTATTTTTCAGATCCTCTCTGTTGCTCTGTAAACCCCAGTGTGCCTGCAGTAACCTGCACTGTACAAGGATCCCGTGTCAGCGCCGGCACTCCATTGTATGAGCACCCGTGCCCGTTTTGTCCCCACTCATCCCATTTTCTCACGGCAAGCAGCTGGCAGAGCCTCTTAACAGCACCTGGCGCATGGCGATCCCTGTCAAAGCCGTTTTGAGCACCTCCCTGGGCTCAGGAGCCTGAGCCCCTCCCTCCTGCCAAGCCTGTTGCATGCGGTACCCGGGCTGTGATTTGCTCCTGCCGGCTGCGGACGCTTTAATGCTTAGAAAACTGTCCGACCTTTGCAATGCAATGCAATTAACAACCGGAGCAGGTTCATTGCCCACACTGATCATTTGCTTTCATTTGCATCCCAGCCATGAATGACCTGGTGCAGTCCATGGTCCTGGCAGGAGGACAATGGACAGGTAGTTCTGAGCATCTGGAGGGTCCTGATGATATATCCACGGGTAAAAGGAGGAAGGAATTGGGAGCTATGGCCTTCTCTACTACAGCTATCAACTTTGCCACTGTCAACTCCTCCACAGGCTTCAGATCCAAGCAGTTGCTAAATAATAAAGGTATAGGTAGAAGTTTTTTGCACCATGATGTAACTATGTAAATATTAGTTTGATTTTGTTTTAAGTTTTTCAATCTTAATAATTGAGTTGCAGTGCTAAGATAATGAACTGGTTTAATAACTGCAGTTATAAAATGTTTCAAGGTTTTTCCTACAGAATGCTTCCTAAGTAAAAATGGATTGCTTTGAAAAATATTTTAATTTTTACCATTTTACCAATGATTAGTACTTTAATAATCTTTCTGCTTTATTTTATTTTACATCTTCTTTTATGTCTCTGTGTGTAGATACCACATCCTTTGAAGATGTAAGTCCACAAGGTATTAGTGATGATTCTAGTACAGGATCAAGAGTTCATGGTAAGATGTGAGCTTTAATTAAATGAATTAAGGATATATGATGTGAATGTTAGTGAATTTGTGAAAATACAGTGAATGGCATCATTGCAATGAGCATGCTCTCTCTGATTTTCATATCTCTCCAATGTATTGTATCATTTCTTCAGATTTTCCTTTCTCTCTTAACTACTACATCAGACAGATGTTCTGTATCTCTGGTAGAAAGTATTTGTGAAGTGCATCTGAACAGGATCAAAACATTTTCCCTTTTAGTGGGAAAATGTTTTAACTTCCATTTGGAGTTAATAGTAAATAAAGGAAGTTAGTATTTCCATCTTAAAAAATCAAGTCCAAATCTGGCATGAGTTTTCAGTGTTCATCGTTCAGTGAACCCCAAATTAGCCATGTGCTGTAGTTTATAAGTTCATTAATTGTTCCTTCAAGCAAAGCTTTGAAGTGAAAAATAGGCTATTAATAGAAATGAAGTTTTAACTGTACTATAAACATTTACAATGAATACAAGCAGAAAACATTTTTGAGGCTACTAACAGTGCATTTCCCTTGTATTGGCTTAGGAGTACAGGACTTTATCTGTGCAGATGCTCTTGCTCCTCCTGTCCGTGGCATTCCAGCCCTGTGCAGGGTTCCCTGTCAGATCTGTTGTAAGTGACCTGACCACAGCAGCCCCTGCATGCCCCTGTCTGAGCCCTGTCTCCCCACTGAGCACTCAGTTTCAATTCTAAACTAGACTCTTTCTCTTTTCCTCTCCTCTGTACCTCGCTATTCCTGTAGTGCCATTTTCCAAAGTGTCCTCTTGGACCGCCTGGAAATTCCTTCGCTTTCTGATCTGTAAGAAACCACTTTATTCCCATGGGCATGTTCAGCCTGGGAGGTCGTGCATGATCCTCTGAGCATTCTGTCAGCAGAATGTGAAGGTGCCGTGTCCTCTGCTAAAATGTTGTTCATCATGCTGTCTCCTCATTTTCTATTTAGCTTCCAGACCAGCCAGCCTTGATAGTGGCAGGACATCCACTAGCAATAGCAATAACAATGCTTCACTCCATGAAGTCAAAGGTATGCTGGGGCTGAATTCACATCCATGCTTCATTTCCATTCTTTTCTCTGTAAGATCATCTGTAGAGATTCAAAAACCCCCTCAACCAAAAAACCCCCACTGCACGGCACAGCCTGTGTTTCCTTGAGTGTTTCACAGCCTTCATTCCCCAGATTAGAAACACAGGTATTTTATGGTTTTAGTGAATGTTACAACTGTGGTGTTAGTATTTAAGTTACCAACTATTTTAAACCAAACCTAACTTGGATAACATTGTTACAAAACAAGAATTTCCCCCCCCCCCCCCCCGCCAAATTACTTTAAAAGCTTTTTAAGTTGAGAAGTTGCTACCTTTTTTCTTCCTCCAAGCGTCCTCCTACACTGCACTGCTGCTGTGAGCTGTGTGCTGTACAACTGCACAAAATGGCACATGTGATTCCTACTAGAAGGCCTTTATATTTTGGTTTTAATAGATTATTACCATCCCTGGATTTATCAGTATTCTCTAAAATTTATTAGGCATTGTCTGTATAGGATTAGGCATTTCCGCCGTAAACAATTTCTCTTGGTTCAAACTTAATTTCATTTCTTGGGAGTGACATGAAGCTGGAAATACTTGATTATCCATCAGTATTTTTTAAGCAATGCATAGTTCCTGACAAATAAAATGAACTGGTGTTGTGAAATTTATTTTGCATCTAACACCATGTGCTTCCTTCAGGTCTCAGTTGTAATAAACTAGGAGTAACAGCAGGAGTTTTTGGAGAAGCAGCATTCCTGAGTAGTTCTTGTTGGAGAAAATATTTTCTTTCCACTCAATCCTTCGTATTTTCTTTAACATTTAATTACCCTGTGCCTCTCAGTGATGCTGAACAAGAATGGAGTTGTCTCTTCAACCTCTTGGAATATATTATTATGTAGGTGGAGACCCAGATTATAAGTGAAAGGTAGTTTTTATTTTAAAAAAATCATGCCACGTTTGAAGAGCTGCAAAATATAAGTCAAGGGACTGTAATTTTATGGGGTGAAAAATAACAGCTGGGCTTTTTATTAGTCTTTTAAATAGAATGAATGCTAACTGAATCTGGTAACATTCCAGATTTCAGTGGGGTTATACAGGTTTACAGCTTTTTGGTGTATTTCTAATGGAAATACTTACTGCCTTCCCCCAAAGTAGGTGCAGTGAACAGCCAGAGCAGGCCCCAGAGCCACAGCAGCGGGGAGTTCAGCCTGCTCCACGAGCACGAGGCCTGGTCCAGCAGCAGCAGCAGCCCCATCCAGTACCTGAAGGGGCACACCAGGTCCAGCCCTGTGCTCCAGCACAGGACGCCCGAGATGCCGGAGAGTCGTGGCAAACAGACCAAAACAGGCTCCCCTGGCAGTGAAGTTGTCACCCTGCAGCAGTTCCTGGAAGAAAGCAACAAGAGTAACTCCAGTGAGGTCAGTGTAAGAGTATTTAACTACGCAATGCCCCATTTGTGGGCTCAGAATTAATGCAAGACACAGTGAGTAGAATTCCTGAAAGATTCCTTGGAGCTGTTGGTCACACCTGCATTGAGAGGTCAGAGGCACTGTCTCCTGATGCACTGTCCAGTTCCACCAGCAGGAAATCTATGGAATTTTGCAGCTGTTCCCTGCAGCTTGACCATCTGTGGTCCCTGGGTTGGGTAGGAAGGTCGACCTGTACCAACAAAGCTGTCCAGTGCATGGGATGCCAGGGCTCAGAGTGGGTTCACTTTTCTTCTTCCAGTCCAGCAGCAGCTGCTGTCACATCTGTTCTGTATCAACCACAAGGAAGATGTTTGACTTCATTCCCTGAGGAGATTCTCGTCTGCTTCAGTTTCATCTTCTTAACAGTACTGGGAAACAAAAAGTGACCTTGGAGCTTATTGAAATCTGAGCGGAGTAAGATGAAGGGCATGTTTCTGTAGATCAGTGACAGTTTCTCAGAAGCCCCAAATCACCTCATCTCTGCTGGAATTTCAGGTTCTGCATCCCTGGTTCTTGAGCAGATCTGCCCAAACTCCTGTAGGATACCCCGCTGTCTGATAAAGCCAAGCTAGTTGCTGTGACTGGGGCCTCTCAGGAGTGAGGATCCAGGGTTGGCTGGGGCAGGTGACACAGATCTGGAGAAGATTCTGCATTTTTTGGTTAGATACTTAAAATGGCTCTCACCCATCATCTCCTTGAGAAGGATTTTTGGGGTTTAAGCACTAGACAATACTCTTCTGGCAATATGAAATAAAACCGACCTAAGTCATCAAGCCAGGTCCGCTGCTGCTCACAAATCTCAGAATCCCTTTCATAGCCTCACAGACCCATTCTGGGTGGAAGGGTATTCAAGCTTCCCAGTCTTCTGCCAGAGCATTTCCCTAATGCCTTTAGCTTAATTCTTCCACAGTTGTCTCTGGTACCATTTTGAAAACAACTACAGTCTTTCTTCACTGAGTCTGAATATTATTCACCTAAACTCCTTTTTTGTAAACGGTACAGAAGACTCCTAAGTATGTATCATAAATGTTTAATACTGCTTTTAGAGATGAGAAATTTTTAAAAAACCCAAATCTTTATAGAATTGTTCATATATGTCCACAAAAATTGCTTAAGAAAAGGTAAAAATTGCAATTTAGAAACGTCTGTTTTCTGGTTTTACAGATGAAATCTGCGAGTGAGGAGAACCTTTTAGATGAAGTGATGAGAAGTTTGTCTGAGTCTGCGGAGCTGGCAGGGAGGGAGAAGCTCCGAAAGGAGCCGGCAGCTGCCTGTGGGATCGTGAGATCCCTGAGTGTCAGAAACACAGTTGATTTCTCAGACGGACGATCCCTTAAACCAGAACAGCTCGTAAGGCCCAGCCTCCGGAAGACTGAAGATCTCTACTTTAGTAGCTCTCCAATCAAATTCACCCCTGGCACCCAGGGGAAGGCCCGGTCCGTGAAAGAAAAGATCCAAGCAACTGTGACCCAGCGACAATCCAGGGACTGCAACCCCTACGCCACCTTACCTCGTGCCAGCAGCGTGATTTCCACGGCAGAGGGAACCACCCGGAGGACAAGCATCCATGATTTTTTGTCTAAGGACAGTAGGCCGCCCGTGTCCGTGGATGCAGCCCCGGCCCCGACTGACAGGAGTGCTCCGCCCACCTCCAGTGAGTACTCGGCACTGCGGGTGTCCTCTCCTTGGGTTCCCTGTGTGCCTGCCAGGGGGGAGCGTGGCCCGCAGGGCGAGGCAGCTCCCACGCTCACACCACCTCATTTAGGAGGTAACTCTGAGCTTCCCAAGCCTTCCAGGACGGAAAGGCCAGGTTGTCGTGGGAGGACTTTGCCCAGCGTGGGTGTGTTCTGGGATAAAGCCAGTGGATCTGGGAATGGCAGTGCAGGCTCCTTCGCTGCATCCCAGCCCTTTTTATCCCTCAACGCCGAGTTAGTCAGCAATATCAGTGGATTGCCCCCGAGATCCACCTCCAAAGCAGCTGACCAGGCAAACGTGTCGGCATTTAGGTCAGTGCTGAGGAGCCAGGAGCAGCCTTGTGCTGCTCCAAAGGCTCAGGGTGACCTGCAGGCCACTCTCACCAGGGACCCTGTCCCTGCCCCCAGCGCTGGCGAGGCCCAGTCCCCACTGCTGGTCTCGGAAGATAACCAGACCCTGTGGTATGAGTATGGCTGTGTATGAAAGAAAGTTGTACATTAAATATTTATGTCTAACATGCCATAAAGGTGTTCTCCATGTCCACTGGATGACAGAAAACTTCCCTCCAATGAAGGAATCATTCCTGGTTTATTTGCAGGGTGGTTGTTCCCTGCAGACAGCGGCTGTGGACTGTGGCATGTTTGAATGTGGAACTGTAACCCCACCAAAGTCTGCATGAAACATTAATTGCACTGTGTATATTTTGCATGCCTTTATAATACAAGCTCTATTTTTATTTGTCACGCATTGCAAATATTTTGGTGTTTTCCTGTTGGTTACCGCTGCATGTTAAACCTAGTGCATACCCGGAACAGCGCAGGGAACAGCATTCCTGGGACAAGGACAGCACTGGCAGTGGAGCTCAAGCTCTCAGGGCTATCAATAATACACTGAATATCTACCTAGAGGGAAAAAACATTGTTTTTCCCCCCTCTTCTTTTAAAAATGAGGTACTAATGGAAAGAAGCATTTGGAGATATGTCAGTGTCTTCTTACCCTTTTCATTTATGCTGTGTCATGGCATAAATGCACAAGGAACAAGTGCCCAGTAATCCAAATAATTCAGTGCCTCTAGTTTGCACAGTAAATATTACTTACTGTCATTACAGTGTAATAAACACACAGACCATTCATAATCCTAAACAGAAATGATAATTCTTACAAAGAGGTGATAAAGTCACATGATACAGAACACTTGTCATGAAAAAATGACCTTTTCCACCTTTTCCTTTGGTCTACTTTGTCTTTCCAGTCGTGGGTACAACTGTCGTGAAGTGTTTGGTTTTATCAGGGGTCAAATAACAGTCTTCTTGTGATGTATAAGAATAAAAACTGTCTTGAGTATGGTGGAAATTCATTTTTTCTTGTCAATGGAAGTACCACTGATGTAATAGAAAACAAATGGTGTAACAAAATAACAGAAAATGTTAAATTAATGCAGTTAAATAAAAGAAAAAATAACAAAGTTGCTTGCAAGGTTATGGGAGGATATGAATACTTCAGCATATAACTCCTTAAATTCCAGATGAGCAGCTAAAGAGAAATGTTGAAAAGTAACTAATGTGCCACTGTTTCTGCACGTTTTTGAAACTTCATAATGGTAAATTTAAACAGTTTAAAATTGTATCAGATTTAAGTTAAAATTACACTAGGCTTTGGACATGAGCACTTCTTTGCCAGAGGAACATTTGTTTATTCTAGTTGTGGGAGCTAAAATACATTATAAAAATTTTGAATGACAGTATAGCTTGAGAAAAAATAATTAAATTTGAAACTACATATTGAAAACAAGTGTCACATTCTGCTTTGTACAATTGCATTTATTCTCCCAGCAGTTTTGTGGCAGTCACAGAACTACTGTGTGGGCTGAATTTTTAATTCCTTAGTGCTTAATTAGGGAGGGGCAGTGAATTGATAGCTCCCCAAGGAAGAGCAGCAGATATCCCGTGTGGGAGTCTGGAAGGGCTCTGTTTTATATAGGATGGGAAGCCCTGCTTGTCAGGAACAAGGGGAGTATAGTGAATGTCTCAGGAGAATAAAATGACTGTTTGAGGATGTGACACGGTCCTTCCCCAGGTCTGTACCACTCGTTTTTGGGCTCAAAAATCTCTCAATTCTCCCAGTACTGGGCACAATCAGTTACTGCTGTGTTCCCTCTGGAACCATCTCAGCAGCAAAAGAATGATAAATCTGATCTATATAATCTTAATTTCACACACATTTACTATCACAGAGCAAGACCGGTGTTCTGGTCTTGGGTCATGCATTTGACTTCACTCCAGTTCATCCATAGTTGTGTTGGGATTAGGTTGGAGGTGAAGAACACCGGTATCCCAAGCAATGTGTGCCCAAGGCATTTTGCAAGTTATTTAAAGAATTACAATCCTAGCTCTGAGAGCCCTTAACACAAACTCATCCTGTGCTGTCAGGGTCTCTGGCTTTTCTTCCCAATGCCCTGCAGAGACATTGGTCTGAACAAGGTTTGTAGCTGCTTTAGATCACCTCTGGCTGCAGAAGTCTCGGGTGTGGTGTTGCCTCCTCTTGTTCAGGTTCTTAGACTGTCACACCTACAAAAATTTCCAGTATGGTCCTCAGCTTCCCTCTTAAACCCCAAGGGCTTTGGAATTGCCAAGCATGAGTGTCCTGGAGCACTAGTGTCTCCAGTCTGCTGGAGTTGGAGACTAACCTTGTCTAGCTCAAGGTTCTGGGAATGGCAGTGATTTATAAACTTGCAAGAAATTGCCTTTCAGCTCTGAGGGGGATAACTTGTTTTGCTCCACTGAGTTTGGCAGCCTCAGAAGTGTTCTGGAAGAGAGTGTTTAATGGCTCTGAGTAATGTCTTATCAACATTTGTTTGTTACATATGAAAAAAAGAAAATGTTGTCATGGACAGAAGGACCTTTTTTTTCTTCACTTTTTGGTCTTTAGCAAGAAGTTTGTGGATGTCTATTTATGTTCAAGTAGTGGAAGGTTCCATGGAATTCTTTGCATTCCCAGTCCCTGCTGCTCCTCAGCCACATGTGCATGGCAGGCTGTGAAACATGGAGCCCTTGCTCATTCCTTGGTTCCTGCTGCCTTGGGCACTGCTAAATTAGGACTTTGCATGATACCGATAAACACTAAATATGTGGCTGCTGCCCAGAAAGGTATGTTCTTTAGGCTCAGCCATTTGCTCACAGCTGAGGTTTGTCTGGCTCTGGCTTGATGCTTTGCTTTCAGTGACTGGTGAATTCAGATGCTGCATTTTGCATGTTCAAGCTGTTGCATGCAAAGACAGTTTTGTGGTTTGTGGAGCTGAATGTGAACGTTTCTGTCAGTATGCAGCAGCTCAAAATACAATGAAGTTCTCTGCTAGGGTCAGTCAGATGTGATTGCTCCTCATTATTACTTTTTTTTTCCATTAATGCAGAAATGTAGGGTTGGTGTAGCTAAAGGTGGCATGAATTTAGGAATAACACCTGGCTATTGTAAATGCTGGATTGAATGGCAGTGAGTGTAGCTGAGCAGGCACTTGGCAGTGAGTTTCTTCTGTCCCTCTCCTCTGTCCTTTCCTCCTAAAAACAACCAGAAAGTGTTTATGTATCCTTTTGCTCTCCTAAAGAGTAGAATGTGTTTTAATGCATGAGGGGTTTTTTTCATGTCCTGATAAACACAATGAATAACTTGAAATGCTTTTCTCTGCAGATGTGGAAGCTATCCCAGAAAGCAGAAATTCAAAAAGCAGGTCTAGGGAGCAACAAAGCTCCTAATTCTATTACCCACTACCTGAGCTGTGGGCCAAGTGGTGAGTTTCCTGCCCAACGTGTAAATGAGATGAATTTTCATTTACAACAAACTAACAGCATTCCATCTCAGCCCCAGAGCACATTGCATTAACCAGATGTAAATCCTGCTTGCTTACCTGGCTTCTCTTCGCGCTCACTCATTAGGCCAGGGCCAGTGGCTCTCCAGAGCTTCTTCCAGAGGCAGGGAACCTCATTTTGCCTGTAAAAGTGACTTTTATTTTTCCAATCTCCTGAAGAAAAAAGTTCAAAGAAATCACATTAAGCAATAATACCATAGTCAGTTTTTAGACAGGGACAGGTAAAAAGGTGAAAGAACAATTGAACAAAACTCAAGAGTATTCAGTACCCCACAGAATCTATCTTTTTATAAAGCTTGTTTTTGGTGTTCTGTCCTCTTCTCAACTTCCCTTAGCCCCTTTGGTGCATGCTGTTAGTGCTGTTAGTGACTGAACTCTGTGTGTTGTGCCTCTACACTTGAAGCTTTTTCTTACACTCTTTTCTCTTTCTGCCTTTCAACTGAACACAGAGAGAAAAGTGTCCTTCAGTATCTCAGTGTGAAGCCTTTATATCTGAAGTAACAAGACAGCGACTGTAGGAATCATTAATAAAACTTAAGGGAATTTTTTACATTCTTCGTGACTAGAGCAGGCAAGAAATAAAAACCTACCTACCTACCTTCCTTCCTTGAATCAAGGAGCGCTACTGGAGTCTACTGCCGAAAATGTGTAGATGGTCTTAGGAATTATTGCACATTGCACTGTTAAGATCTACTGAATAAAGGACAGATCTCATCTCCCTAAGGACCAAGGATTCTAAGGTCTCAAGAATTACTCCAGGGAAAAAAAAAAAAAAAAAAAAAAAAACACAAAAACAAACAAAAAAACCCCAAAACTTCTTTCATCTTCTGTTTTTGAAATTAGCCACTGATTTGCTTAAGCTTCTGCTAATAATTAGCCAAAAACCCCCAAACTAGCAGTTTCTATTTACATCTGTAAATCTGAAGGAAATGCTGTAGAATTTTGTTGAAATGGACTGTATATACAGATACAAAAACCTCACAGCTACTGGCACTTCACTGCCTTATTTGGTTAGCATAATCTGCATGAAATTGCTCTTAAGAAAGTTTATGCTGATTTTTGTTGCATACTGCAAGAGAAAAATTTGTTTACATCCATGGAAAATCTTGGTAACTAACAGAAGTGGGAGTCATGGGATAATGGTATTATAGACACATTGTCCTTTGTGTTTTTCACATTCCCGAGTTACTCTGCATATGTATGTTCAGATGTTTCTGACAGGAAATTGTCAGGTATGGTTTTTCTACAACTTTTATTTTAATATAAGGCTGTTTTCCACAAATGCCATTTCCAGGATAAGACTGTCTTACAATGTTTGTGTATTGACTAATTTTTTTTTTTTTACTGTTTGTCTTTTGACATGAGCTGATTGTGGCTTAGGAAGTTTTTTGATGGCAAAAAGAAATGTAAATAATATCATATGCATTTTACAATCAGTTCCCTCTAAGGTTATCTTTTACTAGAAACATTTTGTTCATATATTGATTTATATTAAAGTCAACAAACATTATTGGTACATTTGGTGGTTGCATATATTTGTCTGGAAAGATTTGCAGTGAGCTCAGAGGAAGGCGTCAGGAACTGAGACCCAAAACGAGTTGTTGTATTTTATTAAAGCAAATAAGCACATTCCTGTTCCTTACGTAAAGGGTTGAGTTCCCTGTGTCACCTCCAAGTGTTCAACAGGCAGGTGCATCATATCACCTGCGGCTTCTGAAGAAGGTGAGCCTCACTGCTGAAGGCAGTTGAACAGATTCAAAAGCTTGAAATCTTCTCAAAAAGGGAGAAAAAAAGAGGCATGTGCCATAAGCTTTAGAAGGGGACATTTTCTGTTTGTTTTCTTTAAAATGAGTTTCTTCCGAACTTTTTTTTTTTGTGATAAAATAGGCTAAAAGATCTATACTAAGAGCATAGCGGGTATGACAGACAATTCAAACACCCATAAAGATTAGGAAAGTCTCTCTTAACTCTGAATGACAGCGTGTTCAAGCTCATTTCAGGGCCTGTGCCTGGGTTCTCACTCTGCTGACAGAGGACTGATGCAGCTCAAGCTCCCCAACCAGAGCAGTTAGTCACATTACTGTTACAGAAAAATGCATGGCTGGAACCAAGCTGCTGAAACTGCAGTGCTAAATGCTGCCAGGATCCGAACGGGGTGGCTGTGTCTGGGGACACTGTCACTGTCGCGACTCTTGGCATGCAGTCCCATGTGTGGAGCACTGCTGAGCACGTGTAATTGCTCAGCACACCTGGATGTGTCCTTTCCATCACACAGGGATCCCCTCCCTTCCACTGACCAGCTCAACTCTTCTCAAGCTGTCCTTTTTGCTTTGCAGAGAAGTTTCGTGGCACTCGAGCAGTCAGGTGTCTCTCTGTCCTCTGCCAATTCCCCTTTTCTTCTTCCTTTCTTAACCTTCCCAGTCTGTGCCCTTAAAGGGAAGTAACAAACCAAATTTAACCTCGGAGCAGTTTCTCAGTTCCTGCTACTCCCAATGCCAGGGATGCACATGGTAGCTTTGTACCCCAGGAATCCCAAACCCAGCACTGCCAGGTCTAGGTTACAAAGGAGGTTCTCATGCCATACAATGTGTATGTTCTATTTACTTTTCTGGTAGTCTCTGAGGATTAAGTAACATTCCCACCACCTAGTATTATTATTTCTAAATTTTGTCCAGGACATGATGCAGCCTAGGAAAGGGAGCTCATGTGTGATTTTTAGGGGTAGCTGATGATGTATGTGTAAATAATGCTTTGATATTAATAAAACTGCCTTAAAGGAATGTACTGAGGTGTGAAACAGAACTTAAAAAGCTCTTATTTAAAACTGTAATTTCCTTTACATATTGATTTTTTAATGTTTGCCATTGTATACATTTATTAATGATGTTATTAAAATGCCAAACCAAATAATTTTTATTCTTATTTTGTGTGTGTATATTTATACACACTTTTTTTCTGGAAACTGATGTTACTGGAAGGGTATTGGTGTCGTGGTGATCTGTGCAGTGAGTATTTCTTCTGGAAGGAAACTGATAAAACTGTAGCAGAATTTTTCTGGATCATGTGTAGTTTGTTGTGTGATTTGTATAGAGCTGGGTAGCTTTTAACTGTACACTATTTTGATACTATTATTAAAAAAAAAAAAGATACACTGATTTCATAAGTAAACACAAAAAGAAATCATTCTAGATTTACCAGATGTAGTATTTGAAACCTGGTAGTTATTTTTGCTGAGATGAGTCTCAGGATCCCTTCTGGGAATGAAGTTAAGTCGCACTTTAGGCAGTGCAGATTCCAGGTTTGTACACATCCTTCAGACAATTTGTCACATTTAAAACATTCCAGATTTAAAAACCTTTGCAAGTCAAATCTAATACTCTTTTTTTGAAGTGATAAGGGATTTTTGGGTACCACAAAAATAAAAAACTTTAAGGGAAAGGGAAAGGGAATGGCAGAGAGAAAGCAAGATAAATATTAAAAGACACATCCTAATGTATCAATGTGGAGCTAATTTAGTGGTGCATTTGTCAGTCCAGAGCTCATTCATTAACCCAGTATTCCTAAATACCACATTCCCTTCAGTCTATAAAATCACATGTATCTGGACATCTCTCTAGTACTCTTCCTACAGCTGCAACATTTTTTGGTCACTTCTTTCCCACTGGACATGACTCCCAGGCTAGATGGGATTGGTTTGTGTCTATCAGAGGTGGAGAACCAAAACTGCTGGATGGTGAAGGGTTCTGTCACTAAGAGCTCTGAGAACAGATGCCAGATCATTCTAGACGAAGGAAACCGTGGTAAGGCTGTGAGTGGAGGAACTTGCCTTACTGAAGATGATGATTTTTCCTACTCAGTTAAATAGTAATTGTTCATTCACCCAAGATCCCAAATCCTTTTACATGTTTTTAATTCATGCTCCTGTAGTTTTGGTTTCAGTTCATCCCAGCCTCTGGCTGATGCTCTTGCCCTGGAGGCATTGTTTGTACTGACATTTTCCTTGGGCTGCATCCAAAAGCCTTTACCCCCATCACCTTCAGATTCCATCCCTCACTCACTGCTGCCCTGGCCTTGGGTTTTGGGGAATGCTCATTGCCATGGGATGTTTACTGGACTTGAGGGAGATTCTGCTGCTTCTATCTTCAGCACACCACGATTTAAAAATGACAATCAAATGCATTTCCTGTGGTGTAGGTGAATTGGTTTTTTAGATAAAAAGAAAGCAGTGTGTAGTAGGGCATAAATGGGTGCAGGGACAGTCACTCTGTCCTGGGGGTATTGACAAGTGTTCTACAACTTGGAATTTGTTCTTTCCTAGTGATGTCAAGTTTAAACCTTCAAGGCCAGTCCCATGCCTGTGAAATTCTAGTTTTATCCATTTACTGATAAAGACTGCAATAGTATTTAAATAATGCCTTTTCTACTTACTAGCTACTTAGTGGTAGATTGCAAAATGTCTTTTGAAGAACACTGTTAACCTTCTAATAACTGAAAGGCAGTATTTTTTCTCACCAGATTATACAATACAAACTTACATAACTGAAACAAGTGAAAAAGGAGTAAGCCATTTTTTTCAAGTTTTATTTGTAATGAGCTTTTTCACCAGTTTTGCTCTACAAAATATATGAGTAGTTGTAGAAAAATTAACTTCCTCTACTGAATGTCTTCATCAAAGTGTATGATGATGGGATCGTGGCCTGTTGATCTCACAAACTTCAGGAAGTCATCAGGGCTTAAGCCCATGGTTGCAGAATTTGTCATTGGATGAAAATACACCTTTTCATGGCCCCCATGGAGCAAGGCAGCATCCAGCACCAGCCTTACATCCCCCTGGTCACAGAAGAGGGCGAGCGGCGTGGCACAGCCCTGACCCACTTTGAGCTTTTCCAGCATGGCGTTCTCATCAGCAAATCTTAGGTTTCCACTTCCAACACCCAGTTTTTTACCAAGTTCGTTCAAATTGACCTGCCTGTTGTGCAGGACGGTCACCAGCCAGAACCCTTTCTTCTTTTTGTCTTTAAGAAACAGGTTTTTACTGTGACCTCCTTCCATTTGTTGGACGTGGGACATCATTTCTTCAACAGTGAACACCTGGAAAACAGCACCAGTGCGGTGTCAGACTCTATATCCCATTAGACTCACAGTCTTGTGCTGGCAGGTATCATTTGTTCAATATTTGGAAAATGCTGAATGTTCTACTTGGCCCAAAAGCTGTACCCTTTTATGAAGGAATTTTAACAGAACACAAATAAAATGTGACAAACTGCTCACGCACACTTCCAGAATCATTTCTGTCTCGTGTGTGCAGCACTGTCTCGTTTTAAAGGCAGTGCTGGGAGCACTCCCGTTTGCAACTCCACACTCTTGGAGTGAATGACGTGGCTTGTAACTGGGAGTGAGTAGAAGTTTGGAAAGCGTCTTGGATGCCGCGCTCTTCAGGGAAAAGGAGTGGGTGAGCCGCTTCTCAGACTACGGAGGAAAGGGGGTGGATCTGGAAGCAGAGTCAAAGCGACCAAAAAATGTCCCCAGACATTCTGCCAGGCCCTGCGAGAACTTCCACATTGATACTTCTGCTAAAACCGCGGGTGCAGGACCTCATCCCGCCCTGATCCCGCTGTGCCCCGCTGGCAAGGCAGGGTTTATTCCCGGGTTTTCAGGAGCTGCCGTACCTGGGGGTGTTCGGCGATGACGGTGGCGATGCCCAGGTCCCGCAGCCGCCGCTCCAGCGCCTCCCGCAGCTCGGCCGCCATCGCGCCCCGCCCCGCCCCGCCCCGCCCCGCCCGCGGGCCGCGTCCTGCCGCAGGGAATGGGCAGATCCATCGGATCTGCTTTTGCCAAGGAGCAGCCCCTGCGGTTCGCACCGTGGATATAATGTCTCCATCCCAGCTGAGCCTCCCCTCCCGCACAGTTCAATACATTTCATGTTCCTTAAAGCCATTTCCTTCCCATATAGCGACATTAGTACATTGCTTCAGCACACATTCCGTGAGAACTGTATTTTGTTCAAATGTTGGTTTCAAACAGATATTTGTCTCCATTTAACCTATTAATTTTTTTAATACGTGTTCTTACTCCAATTTCAGGTTCTGGCGTGCTCCTAACCTACAATTTTGCTGAAAACGCTGCTAGATAAGAAAGTTACATATAAACAAAATAAACAAAAACTGCATCATTTGTATTTTTTTAAATCAACAAATAATAATCAGGAATTGCAACTAAGGGACAAAACCAAACAGGAATGGCCACACAGTTGGAAAATATTTCTGCAACCCAAACCATCGCCCTGACCTATGACATCAACGATTATTTGTTTCCAGTTTACCCTTCAGAAAAACGGGCAATCTGTAATAAGCTTTAAATTAAAACAGGATGACTGTGGTTAAGAGACGTGGATAAAATACGATCCCATGCTAATTCCCAGAGCCTTACAGCAGCACACAGGAAGATTTCCAGGCAACATCCAGAGGAAAATCAACTCAAAAAGCAGATTTGCAGTAAACTCTGATGACTGTTTCGCATGCTAAATCTATCTTTGCATTAAAACGTTTTTCAGGTCAGTCCCAGGCAGTCCCAGCATGTGTTGCCCTCGTAGTGGCCCTGTGCCAGCCGTTCCTTCCCAGCATGTCTTCTGTGCTAGAACACTGACTGCTTTTCTTGTGCTTTGCATAGCTTTTGTTATTTACTTTTTTTTTTTTTTTTTAACTGTGATCTCTTTTTGAGATTATTTTATCCGTGGAAGAACACTCAAGGACTCTGTGCATTTCAAGGTGTCAATACCCCACCTTTGAAATGGAGAATGGTTTGGTTTTTTTTTTCTCAACACTCGGCATCATAAATGAGCAAATACTTGTAGGAAAGATACTGAGGGCCGCAAAACACATAGTTATGGCTCTTGAAACATGTGGAAAACCACGTGTGTGAACTATCACAGGTTCCACATTATGGGCAAAGAGCGTGAAACACACAGCTCAGATATATGTAAAAGAAATTATGGTCATTACTTGGCACACACAATTTGCAGTGTCCGGACAGGGATCGTCACAGGATCAGCACTGTCCCGGACAGAGCCCTGGGATTACCTCTGGGCTTTACAACCAGAATTAACCAGGTAACATTAAGGATTTTTCATTTGTAGAGCTTCATCTTATATTTTAAGTGGCACTGTTTTAGAGACGCCAAATTAGAGAGGACTTAGAAACCAGTCGCGTTAAATCTTTAGATTGCATGTGGGTGGGCAGGGCTTTGCAGAGAGGAAGCTACCGTCTCCTGGCAGGAAGGAGTAAAACAGATTTAAGTGTGTAGATAGACAACTAGATGTTTTTAAAAATAAGTTTCAAAACCCTAGAATGGGCATAAACTCAGAAAATCCCGTGACGGGGTCCATATCCCCCGCCCCTGAGGGCACTTCCCGCCTCCGTGAGGCGAGGCCCCGCCCCCGTCCGGGCAGCCCCGGGGTCGCAGCTGCGCCTGCGTGGTTCCCTCGCACCCCCTCGCGGCGCGTGCGCAGAGAGCGGCGTGAGGCGCGGAGAGGACGCGGAGCCTTTTCCCTTCCTACCTTCCCTTCCCTCTTTTCCATCCTCATTCCTTCCTTCATTCCTCGGGCTGTCAAGGCCGGCACTCGGGGGCTCGGAGAAAGGCGCTGCCCCCGCGAGGAGGGCGGGCTGTAGCTGACAGGTATTAATCAGACAGAACGATGTGCAGGAGAGCAGCAGGAGCGGGAATGTCGCTCCTCCGCCCCGGGACCGGGGAGGGTTTTCCCAGTCGGAGCCTGGCGTGGCCTTCGCTGCCGTGAGCTGGGCCAGTGCCGCCTTAACCTTGTGTTGTTTGTGTGTTTGTGTGCAGCGTGTTGTGGCAGCTCCGCGGCTCCCTCGGTTTTACCGATTCAGCTCCTTTAAGGTTCTCTTTAGGGTTAAAAACCCCACTAAAATAGCTGGGTTTGGTTGGTTACTTTGTCATGCGCTCGCTTCCTGCAAGTGAGCAAGGGTGTCCGGGTGCAAGGAGGGGGTTTAAAGGGCTCGCAGCCATTCTGGGAGGAACCGAGGACGTTTTCTGGCTTGGGAGCTGCGGGGAGAGTGACGCAAAGACCCCTGTGAGTGTGGACAGGGAAGGAACAGAGTCCATCCCTCAGCAGGACAGAATCACAGAATGGTTTGGGTTGGAAGGGACTTTAATGACCATCCTGCTCCACCCCTGCCGTGGGCAGGGACAGCTTCCACTATCCCAGGGAGCCCCGTCCAGCCTGGCCTTGGACACTTCCAAGGAACACTTGGACACTGTGGTGTGGCAGCCACAGCTTCCCTGGGGAAGAACAGGCAGTGCAGAGGCAGCTCTGAGCAAAAGGAGAAGCTCAGGAAAGAGACTGTTGTATGGGATAATTGGCAAAACTACTCAAACCAAAGTTAAGATGGTTAAAACAAGATGTGGGATGATCTGACAGGAGCCTAATTGCTGAGCCAGGGCTTAGCCTCACAGGAGGTCTCTGACCACACCTCACTGGTGTCACTGCTGTGCTGTGGTCTTTCAGAGTTGCTTTTGTCTTAAAATGCTAGGTAGAGGGCGTTTTGCAGGGGTGTTTTGCTGGCTTAGAGAGGTGATTGACACTTGGGTAATTCTGTCAGTATAGCATGAGGAGTGCAAATGTGGGGTTTTTGTAGTAGATTTCAAAGAACCTGCACTGGGGGAATTAATGGTTTATATCAGAGATCAGTGGAGAAAGATGAAAGATCTATAAGCTCTCAGTAGATCCATGTGTCTGCAGTGGAGTAGTGGAGAAAGGTGAAGCACAGAATTAAATGAAAAAATTGGAACAGTTCTTAAACAATTTAATTTTGTCAGTGTTAAAAAGCCTGTTTGGAAACATAGTATTTGTGCCTTGTATTCCTGTACATTTTGTCCTGAGAAGGATGATCTTTGAGCCTCGAGGCTGATCTCAGCGTGTGCTTTGTGTTCACAGTGAGGAATGAACCGAGGGTTGCTGCTGAGGTTTGAAAATCTGGTGCAGCTTCACAGCACCTGCCAGCTGCGAGCCCTGTCATCCAGGAAAGTTTGTGGAGCACAATGGAAGCCTATGGAGTTGTCTGCATATCCCATGGGGTCCCTCCTTCTGCATCCACAGCTCTGGCCAAAGCACAGATTAATCAGTGCTGCCTTGTCACAGTGCAGACATCTAGCCACAAAGGAGGTAATTAAGGACACCCAGTAATCCCTGGGTTTGTGTGGGAAGTACAAGAGCTCAGTTTGAACATTTTAAATAAAAAAGAAAAAAAGTGCTTTATTCTTAAGTATAGAGAAGTTGTTATAAATCTGTAAGACAAAGTGTACTTAATGTATAATTTTTTTGCTATTCCCTCTCAAATACTAAGACCAGTAGTATCATGAATTTTTGCTGACACTGGAGAAAATTACTACAAACAAAAATGGAAATAGTTTTATTGGTGTCTTAGTTTGAAAAGACAGGCGTCTATGGAGGAAGGCAAGAGCTTCTTGTGAAATGGAAAAGGTAAACCCCCTCTCTCCAAATTACCACAATTTCAAAATTAAAAGGCTCTTAGGCAAAGATATGGGAATGGAAATAACAGTCCTTTACTAGGAAAAAAATAAAATAAAAATAATTTTTAAAAAATGTAATTAGTACAAACAAAACTATTCATAGAGTCAGAAACCTGACACCCTGAGGAGTCAGGGTGTTGGTAATAGTCCAGTTAAATGGTGGCTGCTCCTCCTGGAGTGGCAGATGAAATGCTGCTGAAGCTGGGATCTGTAGAAGGGTGTAGTTTTCTCTGAAGGTCTGGTGATGGAGTAGTTGGGCCTGGTCTTCCTCTGGGAATCCAGCAGAGAAGAGAGCTGCTTCTCTGGGAATCCAGCGAGAGGGGCTGCCCTGGTGTCCCAAAAAATACCAATTTCATGCATGTAGGAATGCTTGGCTCCTCCCTCTGGGTGGAGCATCTCACAATGGGATGATGTAACTTTACCGGTCATGCAGTGAGTCATTCAATGGTCCATTAACAGAAGATACCTCCCCAGAGAGAGACATTGTTTTTGGAAGAGATAAAAAAACTGCCCAACCTCCAACAGATGGCAAATAGAATACATGCTTATCTTACAAGCCAAGACAATTGGTTTTTGTCCTTGTTCTGAAAAATTAAAAATGCAAAAAGATTGTTGGTAGTCTGCTGTACATTTGAAATGTTCATTATAATGTGTTAACTCATTCATGAATTGTAATTAATTGGTATTATAGTAAAGAAGATGTGTTTACCTCATATGGCTTGAGACCGTTGTCTTTTTAATATTGTTTTTGTTATTTCTTAGTTTATATTCCTGTCTATGTGTCTAATTCCATGCAGGAGACAAAAAAGAAGAAAAAGAAGATTCCCCTGACGAGAGGTGAAGTGGAGATAAGGCAGAAGATGACTGTTGAGGAACTGGCACGAGCTATGGGCAAAGACATAGGTGGGAGCCTGCTTTGGGATCTGAAACAGCAACATTTGTCACACCCCTTCCATCAGTGGGAAAGGAAAAGTGGCCTTAGTTAGTGATTGTGGACCCATCCCAAAGGAAATATTGGGAGACACAGTGCAGACTAAAGAGAAAAGAAGCTGGGCCATCCAAATGACCAGGCCAGACATTTAAGTGTGAAGAAGCCATGTCTGTGTGCCCTGTCCAGCAGAAAGGCCTCAGATCCATGCAGGCTGCTCCTTGTTGCTGTGGTTCCCAGGGGCTAAGTTATTCCAGAAGGAAAACGCTGCACCCTGGTCTGTCAGAGGTGGACCTCCATGAGTTAAG